GACGGTAACTGAAATAGGGTATCTTCCCAGCTCACCATACACCATAAAATTTGGGGTTGAATTTTTTAGACGTAATATATGCTTGCAAAAACGCAAATGAACTCTCTCAAGAATATCTAAATTTTCGAATCCCCATATTTCGCACCCATATGTTAATATAGGAACAATAGCCTTATCAAACATATCTAGTTGGCACTCGATCGACAAATTATTAAGTCTGGATTTTTTAATTACAGCATACATTGCTTTAATCGCCTGGTCACGTAGATACTTTCTGGTGGAAAGAAATGAGCCACTTCTAGAAAATATGATACCAAGATATTTATAGCTACTGACTATCTCAATTTCATTTCCATCTATATTAAATATCAAGTTTCGAGGTATTCTACCTCTTGAAAATACCATAAGTTTCGTTTTATTGATGTTAATTTTTAGTTTCCACTCTTTACAATACTCTGAAAATTTATCCAACATACATTGTAAGTCATGGCTAGATTCCGCAAGTAGTATTGTATCATCTGCATACAATAATAGAAAAATTTTAAAATATACAAAAAGTTCGTTCTCAATATCAAGTGTAACAGACTGAATTCCATCAATATTAGAATTTTCTAAAAATTCTTGTAGATCATTTAGATATAGTGAAAAAAGCAGAGGAGAAAGATTTTCTCCTTGTCTAACGCCTGTTTCACAGGCAAAGATATCAGAGACTTCTGAATTATGAACAATTCTAGATTTGACATCATCATACATGTTTTTAATAATTCTTAGAAATTTTCCGTTTACATGGTTCAATATCAGTTTAGAAAATAATGAATTTCGATGTATAAAATCAAAAGCTTTTTCAAAATCGACAAATACACAAAAGAGTTTTTTCTTTTTCATCCGTAGTAATTCAAATAAAGCATATAATGAAAAAATATGATCCGTTGTGGAATAACCTTGCCGGAAACCTGCTTGGTTTTCATTTAGGATATTATAATTTTCAATAAAATCACCAAGTCTATCGTTAAGAATAGACGTGAAAACTTTCCCTAGACAAGACAAAAGTGTAATAGGCCTATAATTTTTGGCGTCCAATTTGCTCCCCTTGTTTTTGAAAATAGGTATTACGTTTCCAATAAGCCAAGCCTCAGGCAAGATTCCCGTATCAAATACAATATTAAACAAATGTACATAAATATCAACCATACAATCAAGAGAAGAAGAAATATATTCATTAATCACTTGGTCTTCACCCGGTGATTTATTATTTTTAGCCTTTTTCACGGCTTTCATAATTTCCTCCCGTGTAATTGGGCAATTCAAATTTTCATTCACCGTGTCAGAATTTATATCGTTCTCTATCAAAAACTCATTTTCGAACTTATTTTTGTTTAAGTCCTTGAAAAAATCAAATAAATTTTGCAGTGAAATATTGCTTTTCTCTCTTGTTCTACCTCTATTGAACAATTTCCAAAATTCTTTTGGATTCTTTGTTTTTAATTCCTTCATCTTTTTACTCATTTCAGTATTATATTTTTTTATATTTACATCCATAACTTTTTTATAGTGTAATTCACTCTGTCTGAGTCTTACTTTAAAAATGTTCGACCCATAATGTTTGTATAACCTCTGAGATTTTCTAAATTCTCGTTGGGCTTTTTTACAGTCCTTATTATACCATTCTTTATTAAACTGGTTCTTTGAGCACTTAAACGTAGTTTTATTAAATGTTGAAGTTCCGAATGTTGCCTTAGCAGACTCGGTTAAAGTATCACAAATATCAGTAACAATGTTATTCACATCATATTTAGTAACATTATTTACATCATTTACATATGCAGACAATCTATTACATATATCATCAACTTTATCTCTATCTATATTATTCTTATAGTCATTACTTTTTTGATTTTTCCACTTATTAACTTTTTCATTACCACAGCAAAATGTTTTGGTTAACAAGTTGTCTTTTGTTTCATCATTAGTATACAATTGTAAAGACAATGGATAATGTACATCCGAAAAAAGTTTACAAAACTGTAACACTTCAAATTTACAAATTTTGTATAGAAAGTGAGAAGAACTCAACACATAATCAATAACGCTAGAATTTCTACTAGTTGGGTTACCTGTTCTGTTTTTTTCCATTCTACCATTAAGTATAAACATTTTGTTATTTTTACAAAAGTCAATACACTTTCTTCCATATCCATTTACTACATTATCTATACTATTTCGAAGTCTTGGTATACCAAGTTCATCTAAAATACCAACATCACTAAATTCAACATAATCTGTGAAATTATTTTCAAATGAATGATCTGGATCAGTGTCATAAAAATCAGACAAATTTCCCGTGCGACTATTATAATCGCCAAGCATAATAATGTAGTTTGTTTTATTACAAAAATTTTGCAGTTCAAATTCAATTTCAGTAAATGCATCTTCGGATGTATATAAAGAATTTACAGGTGGGATGTATGTAATTCCAAAAATTGCATCTTTTGGCAAATCTAAAACTTTTTTGTCTATACTAAATCAAAGTACAAACTGGCAATCTGACTGAATATATTTAATATATTTGTCTAAATATTTTTTACAACCCAAAGCAATACCACCAGATTTGTGATTCGCAAGCTTCTTTCTGTTTTTATAATGAAAAATAAAGTTTTCACAATCTATTTCATCTACATCATCTAGTTTTGTTTCTGTTAAACAAACAATGTCATGTTTATCTAAAAATGATTTAAATTCAGGATATAAAAGTTTGGTTTTAATACCACAAACATTTAATGAAAGGATTTCAATAGTTTTATTGTTAACATCAATATCTTTATTTACAGGTAATGAACACGAGTGAAGGTCGCTAGTTTTATTACATTGGTCACTTCTAACGGTACTGTTTAATCCTCCACGGTATACCTAGTGCTGGCCTTTTCGGGGTCCTCCACGGGATCGTGAATATTTCGGCTGGTTGAATTCTCTCGGTCGAGCACCTTGTTCGTTTTGTTGGTGGCGTGAACGTGTCTGTCTATCGTTAGTGTCCATTTCTTTAGTGGTGTCTTTTGGTGAAAATTCATTCCCTTCAATGAATAAGCGGTCTCTTTTGAAGAAAGCCTTTTTCCTTTGACGACGTGCCTCTTGGAAGTGGGGCCACAGAGCCTTCCGACGGTCGTTTATCTCTTTTGGAAACTGTTCATTTATGCCGTATTTTGTGCCCTTTAATTCACTAGCCGCTTTCCGTACGAGTTCTCGCTGCTTGAAATTTACGAATCTACATACTATTGGTTTAGTAATAAATTTAACTGACCCGTCAGGATTTTTTTCCGTGTATTCTTGTCCGAAACGATGAGCTCGATGAAACTCCGGTAAGGTTGCCATTTTTAATTCCGATGTCATAAAATTTTGGATAATTTTCTCAGTGTCTTCCGACTGTTCAATTTTGTCATACATTGGGATACCCGTAAAAATCAAATTTTCCCGCATCGACCTAGTTTGTAGATCTAGTTGTCTTTCATTGAGATCTTCGAGATCATTTTGGAGTCTGGCAATAGTTTCGGTTGCTTCTATGTTTTCGGAGCGAATCTCAGACAAGCTGTTTTTAACTTCCCGGACATCTTTTTTGTTGTATTCAAATTCTGTGTTTATAAAGTTCAAACTTTTTTCAACCTCGTCGACTCTTTTATTGATACTCTCGACACTTTTAACCATACTTGTTACAGATTTATCAAATTTATTTAGTTTTTCAGCAAGTTTATCAATGTTTGATAATTTCTCACATATCATGTCTATTTTTTTGGTTAAATGATCAAGTTTCCCTCCGCTATCTACAACAGTTGGATTCATAGTCGAGTGCATTATTGGCTGCATGTATGTATTTTGTGGAGTTCCAGGATAGAAACCTAGGGTTGATGATGTTGGTGAGGCTTGTAAGAAGTTTGGGTTCTGCATGTTAGGAAATTGCTGGTATTGTCTATTATGTTCGACCATTGGAGATTCATAAACAGGAGTATTTGGTATTGACATGTTTAAATCAGGTTTAATTGGATTGTCAGTAGATTTTAAATTCTTACTTTTGTTTACACTATTTCTATCAGTGTGAGCACTATTCGGATGTCGTTGTTTATTTGGTTTCTCACCACTTGTGTTCTGTCCGTTTGATTTCTTTCTCTTCCTTTTTGTTTTATCACTTTTCTGGGGACTCATATAGAATATCTATAATATTTCCACCAAAATGTACTTAAAAGTTTGTCAAAAAATCACATATAAACACATCATAATCCATTTTGAAATTCAAAATTGTAAGAGCGAAAAAATATACGACATTTTCTTTCACACATGCGCATTCATTCCTGCAGATGAACAAATTTCCATCTTTATAGATAATAATTTAAGTTTGTTCAAACTTTATTATTAATATTTTTTTTATTTATTTTTTTATTTTTACACTGCTGGACATACTTCTACTTCTACCAATACACGGCCACCATCAAAAAGTTGCTTATTTTGCCACTTTTTGGATGCGCATTTAAAATTTAGACAATAAATATTGAATTTGATTTGAATTTGTGCTATACATCATATATACAGGATAAGGAAGGAAGGGAAAAAAAATACTAAAGAGTACTTTTAATGTATTTTTGTTATTAATGCTATTTTCATTGTCTATTATAATATCTGTCACGTTATATACTGTACAATGTCTCATGTTTGTTGCTTATACTATCATAATTTTGTTAATTGTAAATGCCCCCTGTGGGACCCTGATTGGAATAATAATATATTTGATTTGATTTGATTTTATAACTACTGTATACGGTATAGTCTACAGATCCTTCACTGACTTTAGTTATATGTAGTTTAGTCAAGGATTTGTATAGCAAGATCTAGTCTGATCCTTGGTTTAGTGAATATTAGTGTAGTTCAAAGTGATCATGCCGATTCATGGTGATAAGAAAAGATAGAAACTGACTTAAACAAAACGGTCCAAACAAAAACGATCAATTGCAACTTACATACGAATATTTTTGTCTGATAAGTATTAGAGATATACTTCCTTCGCAATCAATTCATAAATAATAAGATCCCCACAAGAACTTTTTTAAAAAATCAAAACACCGCCCGGAAATGAATAAAATATTTTAATTTTAAAACAATACCTGGAGGGCAACCTGTTTCCGTGAAATTTTATTTAGTGGAACTTTTATATATTTTGGACTTTTTTGTAATATATTATCCATACATCACATCGTAGCATCGTCGTCCAACCTAGTTAAAGAATTAAATGTAAAACAAGAGTTTACTTTTAGTTTTTTATCCTTGGTTTACTGAAAATTACCAACTTTTCCAAGAACGAAAGTAAAAAGTTTAGTACGCATGCTCAATATTCAGCAGTTCGCACAATAGCTAGAAAGCCTTAAGTAGGAAGGTTTTTACGGTCATTTATAAAGGTAAATTAGGACATAACCATGTAATTTACTGGAAACATATATATAAACACATATGGTTAAACATAATACATCAGTTTCCAACGCAAAAATATTTAGATAATAAATGATTTTACCTTTTCGTCAAACTAAAAATTTTACTTTCGTTTTCTCCTGGTTTCGCGCACTAACCAAAAAGTTATGTTTTTTTTCTTAAAGCGACAGGAATGTTTTTAAAACAAAATATTTCTGAAGATTTAATTTACATAGAAGCTATCCAAAATCATAATTGTAACTAAATAAAAGTTCATTCATCTACTTTCGTTTTCTCCTTGTTTTAAACAGGGACTTTCTATAAAATTTAGTAAAGAAAGTCCCTGTTTTAAACTACTTTTTTTTTTATTGTCAACACAAAATGTTTCTGAAGATTTTTTTACAATAAAAGCTATACAAACTTATTTTTTTGTTCATCCAGATGGTTAGTAATTCTGAGGATATGACCTCATCTCCACAGTAAACAAAAAAACTGAATATGAAAGTAGATAAATGAACTTTTATTTAGTTGTATATGCTTTATGAAATTCATTACAATATGTCTTTCCTGCACTTGAAATCATGTTATTCTGATTATTATTTACTTGGGTGAAGAAATATGCTCATGTTTGGTCTTTTTCCGACCTGCAGTTAAATACTTGCAAAAATAGACTTTTAAATAGTTGTCCTTTTGGCTGTGTGGGATGTATGAATTAGCAACCATGACTGGTCAGAATGGGGACATTCAATCTAATGCCTCATGTAGAGAAAGTGTTACACTCTTTGCACATTTATAACCCAATGCAGCAACCAATTGCAGGGTCCTTTAAATTGTGGCCTGTTTGCAAGGCTTAAATTACATTAAATTGTACTTAAATTAGGCTGTTAGTTTTCTGGTTTGAATTGTATTACATTTGTCATTTTGGAGTCTTTTACAGCTGACTATGCGGTATGGGCTTCGTTCATTGTTGAAGGCTGTACAGTGACCTAAAGTTGTTAATTTCTGTGTCAGTTGGTCTCTTGTAGAGAGTTGTCTCATTGGCGATCATATCAAATCTTCTTTTTATGCCCCCTCCGCTACGCATTAAGTTTTACCCTTGTCCGTCTGTACATCCGTACGTCATAGAATTGGTTTCCATTCTCTAACTTTAGTTGGCCTCAACCCAATGTTATGAAACTTATGCACAATGCCAATTACCACAAAAAAGATCATGTTCGGAATTTGGTGGTGTCACTTTTACCGTTCTAGAGTTATGCCCCTTTACAAATGGAAAAACTGCTGAAATTTTCGTTTCCATTTTCTAACTTAAGTTTGCCTCAACTAAATGTTATGAAACCTATAAACAATGCTTATTACCACAAAACTCAGATCAAGTACAAATTTGGGTAGTGTCAATTTTACAGTTGAGTTATGTCCCTTTATAATGTTATATACAAGCGAGGGCATCATCTGTGTCCCATGGACACATTCCCCATTTATTTTATAATTTCTGTCCCTATCAAATATACCCTCATTTACCAGTAGCATTCCAAATGTCTGACCCTTCATGTCAGTTGATCCCTATTGCAGGATCTGCCTATTGAATTAATTTGTTCTCATCCTGAACATGGATGACATATTTTCACAATCAGCAATCTATCAATCAAAGAAATTTCTGCAGTACTTTATGACTGTGTATGGTAATGTAAAACACATTCTCCTTAAACTTTCTGTATAGTTCTGTCTGCATGGTACTGGAATGACCAGTACACATTAAGTTTGCACTTTATAATTTTTGGATCAGCATTTTGGTTTGAAATATTTTTATGATCAAGCCTTGGATGTCTATGATTTGCATTTTCACAATTAAGTTCACTCAAAATTAGGTAACAATGAAACAAACAAATGAATCATAAAATTTGATCAGCTTACAACTGTTCATTGTAGTTTTTTACACACATTAACAAATTATGTTTACTTACGATTTTGTCCCAAGCTAATACTATACAAAATGTATTCTTGTTTAATAAAATAGGTAAAATTGGAATGTATTCATTGTTAATTAAGTCACAAATGTAATGGATAATTGATCTCTTAAATTACCACATTTATTATGTTAAAACATAAGTATTGTTTTTTAATGATTTCAACATACATTTATATCAAAACTATTAAAATTGAAAAAGGTTCGATGAACCATTTAATCAGTCAGACAGCCTCTATTAAAGGACCTAACTATTGTACTTATTGTGAATTTGTTCTTGTCCTGATCATGCATGAAATATTTGCTACTGGATGTCATGCAATCAACAATCAATCAATCAATCATTTTGAAAATCCTTGTTTCGCCTATTGTTACGCTGTTTAAGCCTGTGTGATCATGACATTTTTAGAACTCTCAAAGTTCTCCAAATCAATAGAACAGGTTTCTTAAGGTACCTACCATTCATCTCCCTGGGACAAACCATTTCTTTTATTTTTTTAAAAGAAAAACAACAATTTTTTTTCATTTCCATACAGAATCATTTTTAAACTCCATGTTAAAACTACCCGTCCCCGGCATGGTAACAAAGGGTGCATACACATCTGTATTTCTGTCATTTGTGATGCAATACAGGACAGTATATGACTTAGTGAAAATGGCAGAGATTTGACAGTGTTGTTCACTTGGTTAATGCATTATTGCTGGTATAAAAAAATACGGCATTGAGTCCAAACTCTATAAGGGGCAACTCCTGGGCCTCAGACTTTAGAATTTTTAGCCACTGAGTTTTATCAAAATTTGTCAAGTAAATCAAAAATTAAAAGGATAAAGGAAAATTGCTTCTTTATAATTTTTTTATACGCCCGTTTTGGGACGTATTATGGTATACCTCTGTCCGTCTGTCCGTCCGTCACCAACATGTCGGACATTAACTCAAAAACGCTTTAATTAATTTGCATAAAACTTTGATGAATTCTTTATATCTATTGACATGAGCTCCCTTTCGTTTTTTATAAATTTTAGATTTTACGTTTCTGAGTTATGGGGTTTTATTCATTAAAAAAAGGGGGATTTTCCAGTTTTCGGACAATAACTCAAGAATGCTTTCACCAACTTGAAAGAAATTTTGGTTAATTGTTAATATCTATTGACATGAGCTCCCTTTTGATTTTTATAAATTTTAGATTTTACGTTTCCAAGTTAGGGGTTTTATTCATAAAAAAAAGGGGGATTATCCAGTTTTCGGACAATAACTCTAAAATGCTTTCAACAGTTCTCATGAAACTTTCATGAATTGTTGATATTTATTGATGTAAGCTCCCTTTAGAATTTTATAAATTTTAGATTTTACATTTCCGAGTTACGGGGTTTTATTCATTAAAAAAGGGGGGATTTTCCAGTTTTCAGACAATAACTCAAAAATGCTTTCAGCAATTCTTATGAAACTTTGGTGAATTGATTATATCTATTGATGTAAGCTCACTTTAGAATTTTATAAATTTTATTTGTTTATAGTCTGACAACAGATTTACTAAGTATTGGGCAACAGCATAGTGTATTGCACAACAGCAAGAAATCTTTAATTGAATATAAATTCAATTCATACATATAACCAATTTCAAGTTCTTTGACTACATTTATTCAGAAACCTATAATATGTCAAATATTTAATTACAATCCAAATTCAGACCTTTATCAAGCTTGAATATTGTGTCCATTTTTGCCCCAACTGTTCAGGGTTGGACCTCTGCGGGTGTATTCAGCTGCGCTCAGCGAAGCAGTTTATATTTACATCATGGCCTGATTATGTGTGGTTATTTATAGTATTGATTTTGATAAAAAAAAAAAAAATGCAATCATTTAGCACAAATTTCATCATGTTTCTGGTAGATAAATTCCAATATACTTCATATACTTAATTTTAATATGTAGTTTAAAAATGAAAGCAACATGGGAAAACCAGAAATAACAATTACAAAAAGTTGCTTGTTCTTAATCATTACATTGTAATGTGAAATGAAGTACAAGTGAAACATTATTTTTTTTTGTTTTACTCAATGATCATGTTTACAAGTACAAAATATATCAACATGTGCAATTTATTTATGGTTATTATTAATTGAAAAAATTTCCTTAATTCATTTTCAAATTGGTCATTTTTGTTGAGCCTGCGACTTCTGTTACAGAAAGCTTGACATAGGGATAGTGATCCAGCGGCGGCAGCGTTAACTAACTTCTTAAAAGCTCAATATTTCAGAAGGTAGAAGACCTGGATGCTTCATACTTTGTATATAGATGCCTTATATTCGCCTGTCATATGTCCATTTTTTTCCTTGACCTCATTTTCATGGTTCAGTGACTACTTGAAAAAAAAGTTAAGAATTTTTGTTATGTTAATTCTCTCTTATTATGAGTAATAGGATAACTATATTTGGTATGTGCGTAGCTTGCAAGGTCCTCATGCCTTTCAGACAGTTTTCACTTGACCTCGACCTCATTTCATGGATCAGTGAACAAGGTTATATTTTCGTGGTCAAGTCACTATCTCAGATAATATAAGCAATAGGTCTACTATATTTGGTGTATGTAATGAATGCAAGGTGTGCAAGTACAACTGGCAGGTGTCATCTGACCTTGACCTCATTTTCACGGTTCATTGCTCAATGTGAAGTTTTTGTGTATTGGTCTGTTTTTCTAATACTGTATGAAATAGGTCAACTATATTTGGTGTTTGGAAATATTTTACGATGTACATGTCAGTCTGGCAGGTTTTATTTGAACTTGACCTCATTTTCTAGTTCATTGCTCAATGTTAAGTTTTTGTGTTTTGGTCAGTTTTTCTAATACTGTATGCAATAGGTCAACTATATTTAGTGTATGGAAATATTTTACGATGTACATGTTAGTCTGGCAGGTTTGAATTGACCTTGACCTCATTTTCATGGTTCATTGCTTAATGTTAAGTTTTGTTTTTTGGTCTATTTTTCTTAAACTTTAAGCAATAGGTCAACTATATTTGGTGTATGGAATGATTGTAAGGTGTATATATGTCTGTCTGGTAGGTATTATCTGAACTTCACCTCATTTTCATGGTTCATTGGTCAATGTTCAGTTTTCCTGGTTATTTTTGTTTCTTAGATACTATAAGCAATAGGTCAACTATATTTGGGGCAATATGCGTAATTGATTTTCCATAGGCAGTAATGGTAACGTTTTCCTCTGTAGCACAGTTCATATCGTAAACTTGGATGTGCATGATGGCTCATTTCGAAGCTGAGACATTTTCACATATGTGGTTAAATTTTCGGGGTACGAAGTGTGATTCATTTTTCCGTAAATTAGCACACTCTGAAAATCCTTTCGTGATGTGGCTCCTCGTGGTAAATAATCCCTTTTTTCACACAGTAAGGTCTTTGATAATTTAATACTTTGCATACATTTAATAACTCCATAGTTTGTATACGACCGCCAAAAAATTTTGCGGTTGTATATTGGTATGACGTTGGCGTCGTCGTCGTCGTCCGGCTTCGTCGTCGTCCGAAGACACATTAGTTTTCGCACTGTAACTTTAGTTTAAGTGAATGGATCTCTATGAAATTTTACCATAAGGTTCAATACCACAAAAGGAAGGTTGGGATTGATTTTGGGGGTTATGGTACCAATAGTTAAGGAATTAGGGGCCAAAAAGGGGCCAAAAATAAGCATTTTTGTAACTTCCAGACATAACTTGTGTGTAAGTGTATGGATCTTTCTGAAATTGTACTACAAGGTTCCATATCACAAAGGGAAAGCTGGAATTGAGTTTGGGGGTAATTGCCCAAAACATTTAAGAATAAGGGGCCAAAAAGGGGCTAAAAATAAGCATTTTTCTAGTTTCCAGACAATAACTTGTGTTCAAGTGTATGGATCTCTCTGAAATTGTACTGCAAGGTACCATACCACAAAGGGAAGGCTGGGATTGAGTTTGGGGGGTAATTGCCTCAAAATTTTAGGAATTAGGGGCCAAAAAGGGGCAAAAAACAAGCATTTTTCTAGTTTCAGGACAATAACTTGTGTGTAAGTGTATGGATCTTTATGAAATTGTACTACAAGGTTCCATATCACAAAGGAAAAGCTGGGTTTGAGTTTGGGGGTAATTGCCCTAAACGTTTAGGAATTTGGGGCCAAAAAGGGGCCAAAAAACAAGCATTTTTACAGTTTCCAGACAATAACTTGTGTTCAAGTGTATGGATCTCTCTGAAATTGTACTGCAAGGTACCATACCACAAAGGGAAGGCTGGGATTGAGTTTGGGGGTGATGAATCTTAAGGGGGTTCAAGAAATTGGGGGTGGGATTTTTTCTTCATTTTTTTTTCTTTAAAATTTTCCATTTTAAATTGGTCATTTCTGATTTATATATAAAAGCAAATAATAATGATATGGTTTGAATAGGTAAATTAAAATTTTTTAAGTTCTTAGACCACATTCATTCTGTGTCAGAAACCTATGCTGTGTCAAATATTTAATCACAATCCAAATTCAGTGCTGTATCAAGCTTGAATGTTGTGTCCATACTTGCCCCAACTGTTCAGGGTTCGACCTCTGCAGTCGTATCAAGCTGCGCCCAGCGGAGCATTTTATTACACATTTATTCTATGGTCCTATAACCTAGTCCTCTACTTTTCAAATCAACACAAATGGTAAAGCTCAGTCACTTGTTAAAAATAGAAACATGTTTAATATCACTATACAGAGATTTTTTGTTTACGCACAACTTTTGTGTTCCTCAAGTTGAGGCGCATTAGGGATATTGACCCATTTGATGCATGGAATGATTTTACATGTCTGTCTGGCAGGGTTCATCCTACCTTGACCTCATTTTCATGGTTCATTGGTCAGTATAAAATTTCCATGGTTTGGTCTGTTTCTTATATACTATAAGCAATAGGTCATACATATATTTGGTGTATGGAATGATTGTATTAAAGGTGTACATGTATTTTCAACTTGGTTTATCTGACTTTGACATCATTTTCTTGGATCATAAATGTTAATGTGATACTTGTAGTAAAACTTTATATGTAAGACTATCAACATGAAATCAATGGCCGGTAAAGATGTCGAGACATTTCAGCATGTGCACTCTTGTTAGAAAAGCAGTTGGGTCAATATCTTTAATTGTTTTTCCATAGGCGGTAGTGGTAACGTTTTTTCCTGTAGCTCAGTCCATATCGTAAACTTGGATATGTATGATAGCTCGTTTCGAAGCTGTGACATTTTCACATATGTGGTTAAATTTTCGGGGTACGAAGTGAGATTACTTTTTCCGTAAATTAGCATACCCCGAACATCCTGTCGTGATGTGGCTCCTCGTGGTAAAAAATCCCTTTTTTAACACAATAAGTTCTTTGAAAATTTAATACTTTGAACACATTTAATAGCTCCATAGTTTTTACACATTTATTCTATGTTCCTCTACTTTCATAATCACCACAAATGGTTAAGCTCAGTCATTTGTAAAAAATAGAAACATGTCCAATATCACTACACAGAGATTTTTTGTTTACACACAACTTTTGAGTTCCTCATTTCGAGGCGCATTAGGGATATTGACCCATTTCTATTCTATTCTAGTGATGTAGCTAGTTTGACTATGGACAATTTTACTGTTATGTGTTATTGCATTTCAGATCAGTGAGCAGACAAAGAGAATTACCAGGTCATGCTCACTGAAATAATGAGTAGTGAATCTGATGAAGAAGAGTATAAGGAAGCCAGAAGTGGAAGCTCTGGTAGTGATGAAAACGATGGCACTCCTGATCAATGGAGTGTACCTTCTATGTCTCAATCAATGCTGAACAGGTTTTCAAAATTTCCAGATCATTCTACTAAATCTAAGCAGGACAATAATTCAAAAGTCGAAACAGGATTTGTAAGTTCTTTAAGTAGAGTGCACCGAAAAGAGGAAAACATTCCACCCCCTGTACCCCCAAAAACTTTTAAACAGAAAAGAAATTCTTTTGAGAATCCAATGGAAACGGAAGAGAAAAGTAACTCAGAAGGAGAGGATCAGAACCAGCCTTTGTTTATGAACGAAACAACTGAAGGTGGAAACAGTAATGAGAAAAAGATGTCTGTAAAAGACAGGGCCAGAATGTTTGACCATCCACAAGAATCAGACACATCCCAATCAGTAGAACAATCACCAGGTCCTAATCCATTTGTAGCACTCAAAAGACCTGCAGAATATTCTCCTGACATAGAAGAACAAAATTCATCTACAAAGAGGCCAGATATAGTAAGAGAAACAAATGTTGACACTGGTCAGGTTGAAACCACATCTGACATAGAAGAATCAATGCAAGAAGCTGAGATGCAAAGTCAAAGCCATGGTGAGGGCGCAGATCTAAGCAGTAATGAATCGTCAAACTTGCCAACAGATTCAGAACCAGTCAGTACTGGTATGCCTAACCCTGAACAGGGTAGATCATCACCATGGCAACATCAGGGACATCCTGAACCAGATAGGTCATCACCATGGCAAAATCAGGGACATCCTGAACCAGATAGGTCATCCCCATGGCTACAGCAGCACCATCCTAATGCACAGTACCCTGGACCTAGATCAGCTCATGGATGGTAAGAATTTGTTCTAAAGAAAGCATTTTTTGCATTTTTTTCTGGATATCTTTCCATCTAAATAAATTCTTGCTTTTCAGTTCATTGTATTTCAAAGGAAAATCTAGCATTTTAGACATAAAAAGTATCATGCAACTTGAATACCTGTAAAAATGGATAAGATATCCTGGGTAAGTAAAGGAACTGTTATCTTATATTACACTGGAGACACATCAGGTTACTTACTGGTAACCTTAGATTTGACTGAGTAATACATGCATACTATTGGTTTCAACAACTGATAATTTATAGAATTTGGTAGTAAAACTGAAATGAAGAAACTATGTGTTGTTATATTCTTTCCTATATTTTCAAGAATTTTAGAGCAATATTACCCTTCATTTTACAGGTCTTTTTATGACTACTATAGGTATGGAACATGAGTTTTCTAGACATACCTTAAATTATAAGATATGCTGCGAAAGTAAAATAATATATAGACTTATAAACCATACCATGAGTTGATAATAATGCTTTTGCCAATAATTTAATTGTCTACTGTTTTATATGTCAAAACAGGTTTTTCATGCCAACCAGTTTCCATGGTATATGAAACATTTTATATTTTTTGTTGATAACTAGATACATTAGTGTTGTTTAGTTACTTACTTCTGACTTGTATATGCTATAAAGTTTGAACATACAAAAGAACTTAAGATTAAATTTGCATATTTATTTTGTCTTGTTATTTATAGGCCTGGTACACCACCACCACCACATGGACAGTTGAGATATGGCCACCCTCATCAAAATCCAGGTACACCACCTTCATCAGGACAGGTGAGATATGGACATCCTCATCAATATCAAGATACACCACGAATGAGATATGGACAGCCTCGTCAACATGCTCCTCCATATGGTGCACCACCTCACCAGATAGGATTACAACAGCAAGGTTACCCTCCAAATCAAATGCAATACCTTCCACAAGAGGGTCATGGTGGACCAGGAGGTTCCCCTTATTTTGATCCAAATTATCAACACGGACCCCCTCAGCCAATTCCTGGTCATTATAAAGGACATGGTCAACACCAAAGTACCCCTTATCAGCCTTCAGGACCTAACAAGAAACATCAACCCCCTCATACGTCACCTAGGGGCAATGAGCATACACCACCAAAAAGTAAAATACCTTCAAGACAAGTTCCAACAGGAAAGGGTGAAACTCCCAAACCAGGAACCAGACCTTCAACTGAAACTACATCTAGTAAATCAGATACTAAATCAGGTGGAGCTAAACCAAAACTAAATCTAGGAAAGGGTGCACAGAGAAATGAAGGTACCATAAACTGTAACATCTTTTATAAATAATTTGTTTTTTAAAATCCCTCAGTATACAAGATGTTATGATCTGCCAGAAATCAGTAGTTGTATTTTATTATTTCTTGAATTGTAAAAAGAATATGTGTTATGATTGCCAATGAGACAAGTATCCACCAGAGCTCAAATGACGTAGATGCAAGCAACTATAGTTGCTTTTTAGAGCTTCAAGTTTCCCAAAAATAGCCTCAATTTATCATCTTATCATTAATGTATACCGGTAGGTATGAACCCAATCTTTATTAAAGAAGATGTTTTCTGCAAGATGCCTAATACCAAGATATTAATGAAATTAAATTATCTTAATGGTTAAAGCTATGGTTTCAATATAATTTGCAAAAAAACTATCTTTATAATAAAGTTCACCTAAATATTAAATTTTAGGTTATTAAAGGGAAATATACATATACAGTATTCAATTATATTGTTTTTCATTTCTGATAAAAAAGTTATCTCCTTTCTTTGTATCAAGACTGATTGATAGAATCAATGATAGCCATTAATTGAATCAAAAGTGTACCTGGTAATTGTATCTCAAGCTTCCTTCTACCAATTCTAAAATTCATTATTTTTATGCCCCCGCCGTACCGGAGGGGGCATTAAGTTTAACCCTTGTCCGTCTGTACGTATGTACGTACGTACGTACGTCCGTCCGTACGTATGTACGTACGTACGTACGTCCGTCCGTACGTCCGTCCGTACGTCCCGAAATTGGTTTCCGTTCTCTAACTTGAGTTTGCCTCAACTAAATGTTATGAAACTTATACACAATGCTTATTACCACAAAACACAGATCAAGTTTGAATTTTGGTGGCGTCACTTTAACCGATCTAGAGTTATGCCCCTTTATAAAAGGAAATATTGCAAAATTTTTAGTTTCCGTTCTCTAACTTAAGTTTGCCTCAACCAAATGTTATGAAACTTATACACAATGCTTATTACCACAAAACACAGATCAAGTTTGAATTTTGGTGGTGTCACTTTAACCGATCTAGAGTTATGCCCCTTTATAAAAGGAAAAATTGCAAAATTTTTATTTTTTCTTTATTTTATCTAACACTTTTAGACTAGCAATTAATTTTTTTTGAATTTATTTAGAACCTAAAGTTGAAACAAAAGGGCCAGGTTCATCTAAAAAGGTAAGAAATGTGTCTTTGATATAACAATGAAAAATAAAATAACGTTATTTAAAACAGTATCAAGTGAACTCTAACACTTTTGTCACCAGTAGGAACTTTGCACCACCTTTTAATCAATAAGTTATCATAATGTTTACATTTTGAATCTTAAACATTGGAGAAAATCAATTATTTTTCATTCATTTCTGAGGGGCCTGATGGGGTGGAAGGGGGGGGGGGGGTCTCATCACGATTCACGGATTCACGAGTTGATTTTTTTGTTAATCACGATTCACAGAAAATAAACTTCCTTGATCACGGATCACGAAAATATAAAAAAAAAAAAAATCTGTAGAAAAACGGATCACAATAGCGAAAATGCGCCGATCACGAAGAACGAAAATAACCCATCAGGCACCTCATTTCTTTTTTTTTAAATGTTTTCATTGGTATCATCCAGGATCATAACAAATAATCAATGCAAAAATAATAAACTTGTTGTCGATTTTCAAAGTTCATCGTACATAATAAAAAATACAAGCTCTGAAATACAAGTAAATATTTAAAAAAAAACAAATTTTAAGAAACTAGCTCTTATATATGCCTCTTTATAATTGGTTATATAAGTTGTATTTCAAATTAATTTGGCTTTATATATGTAATCAGTTTGATATGTTTGTGAAAACTAATGTAATAAATATATAAGGATTTGTTTTTTTATTCGCATATTCATAGCAGGCACCAGAGAAAATGTACCTTTGTGTTTCTGGTATTGACAAAGAACAAACTAATGAAACCTTCTTCAACTTCATTGAGGCAAAGTCTAAAGGAGATGTTAATTCTGATCAATCATTGAGGACAATGGATGAACCGGAGCATGCAGTGGTAGTGTTTGAGGACAGAATAGGTAAGTCAATTTGATGATTTTTCAGCTCAGTGAACAACAGATTTTACAAATATATATTATATATATATAAACTCATCATAGACACCAGGCTTAAAATTTTGTATGCCGGACCTGTGTTTTGTCTACAAAAGTCTCATCAGTGACACTTGAATCAAAAAAGTTTAATAGGCCAAATAAAGTACTAATTTGAAGAGCATTGGGGAACCAAAATTGCCAAATACAGCTAAGTTAATCTATTCCTAGGGTAGAAAATCCTTAGTATTTTGAAAAATTCAAAGTTTTATAAACAGTTAATATAGAATTATCAATTACATTGTATCATATCAATGATAATTCATGACGACACAGATGTGCTGACTACTGGGCTTGTGATATCCTCGGAAAGGAAACCTCCACCAGCAGTGGCATCAACCCAGTGTTTGTAAATAAATTCATCATATATAACATAGCTATTTTTCAGGATAAGATTAAGCATGCCATGAATGGACCTTCTTGATAGATAAATGCAACTATTTCTGACCAAAATTACAGAAATATTTCATTAACTTTGTAAATATCAATTCTAGGCTTTGATATGTTGACACACGAAACATGTAATACTTGTATTAGTAAAGATAGTTCATAGAATTGATTCCAGTTTTAAAAAAATCACTTTAATAAAAATTGTTTCCATTAAACACAAATCTCTTTATTATCACTGGCCACAAGCTCCTTATTTGATCCTGCAATCAACCTTTTATCTATACATATGCAGGTGTACAGATAAACAGAAATGATTCACATATATAGTCTCCTCTGCTTCTGTTGCTAGAATAAACCTTTTTATTTCTACTCACTATGAAACAGGAAAAAAAGCTTGATGAACCATGCTTTTCTTTGTGTTTCTAGAACTCACTGATAAAAGTTTTATATTTTCATGTAAATGTACGAATATTGTGTAGGAAACTGATACTGGTATTATTAGTATTAAATAAAGTCTGATTCACAGACTGATTGTGAATAAATTCATGCTGACAAAACCAAATAAAAAAGACCCTTAACATGCCTTTCATCTCAAAGTTACTGTAAGATCTGGACAATAGTGCAAAAATCAAATGCATTTTGCAAGTCCAAGACAGCCCTAGCACTGGTCAGAATAGAACTCCATGCCTGGTATCAAACATGCTACATCTGTGCAATTGAAAAAAAACAAAACAAATGCAGGGCAATGTAACCAAACTACAGACTACAATGGGCAAAGAAATCTATTAAATACTGTCAGAATTTGCCCAACAAATCCACTGTTAAAGACCAAGATAACAAAAATATACAGACAGCCACTGGGAATCATTTTTTTTTCTAAACAATAAGGCACTGATTTGAGAACAATTTTGGTCTCCATGCTCCAAGTAGGGCTTTTATTTACGTTAGGGGACCCAACCAATACACAAGATTCCAATTTCGATTTTATGAATGAACTGCCTTGGTTGACCTACAGTTATTATATAGTTATAGGACTTTATGATGAAAAGATTTTCGCTTTGTGACATGAAAAAGCACTAATTGGACAATTATGTATAAAGGGATTCATTAAATGAACACTAACCCTTAAACTGACCCTTTTCCATATCTAACCCTAACACTAGTGCTATTGCTGAAACCTAACCCTTACCTTAAACAAATGCTAACCTAACTCTAAACCTAAACTAAAACCTGACCATAAAGTACTGGGCGTCCTTAAAGTAAACGAAGGCCTCAAGTTATATCAGTAATGAAAAATGTATGTTTAGTTGCATACATGTATATGTATTTAACAAATGTTTTTTATATTTTAGATGTTGCAAAACTTAAAGTTGCATGTGCAAAAAAAGCCCTTGGTAATTCCTCATTAGAATTTGAGGAAATAGATCCTCCAAGGTATATAATTGCTAGTTCAGTAGATAAATTGACACAGAGTGACTTCAAAGATTATCTCACAAAGAAAAAGAAACAGATAATTGTTAAAGTACACACTACAGAGGAGGGACCAATTACAGCAAAGTTCAAAGAACCATCAGGTATTACATGTGTACATGATGTTACCTAATATTTCTTGTGTTGTAGTACCTACAGTTTATTATGGGATTCCGGAATATGCAAATTTGGGAATAATCATCTAATTTTATGATGCATTTTTTTTCTTTTGGTTCTATTAAAAGGAATGATACATGGCAGGTCCTCCACCAATGATCTTCATTTTCTCATTTACTGTAAATTCAAAAATTATTGGAGCTTTTATTATTGCAATGTTGATGTGACCAACCAAATTCATAATTAATTATTGTGACATTTTGAAATTTGCATACAGATATATATATATCAGATATCAGAATGCAAGTTCTTATTATTTCTATACTCACTCAGTCTCATTTATAGCATTAGTATAAACCCCACAATAATTTCTGTATTTACAGTAGTTTAGATTGGATGTAAAATATGACCTTCAGATGCAATATATCTTTATGCTGATTTGCTTATCTTATTAAAGCTGTTATCCTAATGCTAGCAATTTAAAGGTTTGGTTGGCTTATTGCTTTGTTTGTATAAATGTTTGCTCAAGCATTGTAATTAAGATTGACATCTGCAATCAATAGATAGGCGGGACTTCAGCTTGTTTACATTATACATAACACCCAATAACATTTAAGTAACAATAATGTATACAAGCTGAAGCCCCGCCTATCTATTGGTTGCAGATGTTAATCTTAATTACAATGCTTGAGCAAACATTTATACAAACAAAGCATGCAAGCCAACCAAACCTTTAAATTGCTAGCATTAGGATAATAGCTTTAAGATACATTGAAACTATATAGAAACACATTTACATTATCTTGTATGTAAATAAGGTGCAAGTTTAACTTTACTTAGTAGGAAAGATGTATTTGAAGTCCTTTACACTGATGTGTAAATTTTGATCCCCCCTCTGTTACCGGAGAGGGCATTAAGTGTTACGCTTGACAGTCCGTACATCCCAAAATTGGTTTCAATTCTCTAACTCTATCTTTCTAGAGCTATGCCCCTTTACAAATGGAAAAAATTGCTGAATTTTTGTTTCTGTTCTCTAACTTAAGTTTGCCTCAACCAAATGTTATGAAATTTATACACAATGCTAATTACCACAAAATGCAGATCAAGTTATCATTTGGTTGATGTCACTTTTTCCGTTCTTAAGTAATGCCCCTTCATAACAAGCTGGGACATCATCTGTGTCCTATGGACACATTCTCCATTTATTTTAAAATCATTTTATCTATAACATCGAAGTGAAATGCTATGAACATTTTGGGGATTAATTACTGTGACTTGACTGTTAGTGTTGCTCTCCACCTATTGCAACTTATTCAAAATTCTGACCAAATTGCAATTTGTTTTGTAAAACCAAACTGTTCAACTGGTCAGAAATTTGAACAAACTGCTGTAGAAAACCACAGTCAAGTCATGAAAGTGCAAGGTGATAAAATAAAGCATACTTACAATCCTATAAGACTTTAAATCCACTTCAATGTTATTTAATAACTTTGAAGTGGATTTAAAGTCTTATAGAATTGTAAGTATGCTTTATTTTATCACCTTGCAGTTTCACGACTTGACTGTGGTGTTCTACAGCAGTTTGTTCAAATTTCTGACCAGTTGAACAGTTTGGTTTTATAAAACAAATTGCAATTTGGTCAGAATTTTGAATAAGTTGCAATAGGTGGAGAGCAACACTTACAGTCAAGTCACAGTAAAACAAAGTCATCTAGAGCTTAATTTGTCAAAATTTATCTTATCTTTTCCAAAAAAGGGGTATATAGCTCCTAAGAATATTTAGTTTACTACCTACATAGCTAGCGGACTTTCTGATAGTGCTTCAATTCTGGCTTTATGTAATTGGTGCATTTTGAATGTAAAAATTCAGTCCATAAATTGTGTGTTTAAACTGAAACTGAGGTTGTATCTTTCCCAAGCTAAGTTGTCCTTAAATGGTTTTAAAGCCTCTGTGTTTAGGTACTTTTGGTTTTAATACCCACAAAAGTATTTTGATTTGGCTTTTAAAAAAGTTTATTCTTAGGCATACCTAATGAACTTTTTGAAGGTTTATCTAGAGAGCTGTTGTGCACATGGAAATCTGTACGATATGTTTTGTGTGTTAGTGTTGATGTGTTTATAATTGTTTAAAGTTTTCATACATTGACCTGATTTGTTATAGGAGTAACAGAAATACTAAAGGATACCAACGTAAAGATAAGTGGTTCTAAAGTTGTTATTTCTGTTATGTACTTTTGTGATCATGGAACATACTGGGATCAAAGTCTACACCGAGTTGCAATTCCTGGTCCATTCAAACCTTCAGTCTCAGACAGTCATATAAGATCATTTATCATTGACATCACTTCTGTTTGTAATGAGCATTTGGAACAACACCATGCCTGTCTGACCTTCAAGGATGAGCTACATATTGAATGTACAATAGACCCTAAAGATAAAATGGCAAGACAGAAAGTAAAAGACTGGAAAAACAATGTACAAAAAGCTTGGGAGGAATTTGTCAACAACAGCGCCAAAAAGAGAGAACTTCAGATCACAGGTGACACAAAAGATCCACTTCTGGAGCATATCAACAAGACCAAAGATCAACACAAATCTGAAGAGCTAAAGGTTATCTCCCCTGATGAGACTGGCAGTATGAAGTTTGTATTTGTTGGCAGGTCTAAAATTGTGGAGAATTATGTTGAACAGATTTCTGCCAAGAAATTAGAAATAGAGGCAGATTTGAATAGAAAGAAGAAGATTAAAACAGATTCAATGAAACTTAAACCAATAGAAATTGCTTTAATGACCAAAGAAGACAAGTTTGAAGAAGTAAAAAATATTGCTCCAGATTTCAGTTGTGAACCTAATACGGAGAGTGGAACCATAACATTTACTGGTGTGGAAGAAGACATTTCCAAAGCAAAAGTTAAGATATTTGAAGTTAAAAACAACTACCATTCCTGGCGAATAGATAGTCTTTCAGATCACATGTGTCAGCTCCTCAGAAGGAAACAGGTTTCTGACATTGTTAATGAAAGTTTTAGTGATGACAATATTTCCATAGTTTGGGATATTACTGATGACCATGTAACTGTTTGCACTTCTCAGGACAACCGTCCACACATTGAAAAGGTCTTCAAAGATACTATCTTAGAGGATGAGATTAAATTAGATGAGGCAAGCAAAGATGTTTTGATGTTGGATGAATGGGCAGAGAAAAAAACAAGTATCAATAATTATCATAGAGATACTGCTAACATAGATGATACTTCTGATGATCGAATTATTGTCACAGCTACTACTGATGTGTTTGATGGGATTATGAAGGAGTTGGAAATATTTATTACAGAAAACTCGATAAAAGAGGGTGAAATAACAATTAGGGAAGAAGAGAAATTCAAATTCTTTAAGAACCATTGTAAAGATTGGGTAAAAGAATTGGAGGTTAAATACAGTGATCAAAAGCTTGAAATACATTTTGATAGACAATCAGTCAAAATAAGTGGAACTCCTAAAGTAATAGATACCGTTGGTGATGAGATAAAGAACCATTTGAGGAAAATAAACAAGGACATTCATGTGATATCAGAACCTGGGGTAGACTCCCTTGTTAGTGATCAAACTAAGAGCGATGCCTTAGTAAGTCCAGTTGAAGAAGAAACTAAAACTGTTATTACTGTAGATCCAAATTCTGTAAATAAACAGGCATTCAGAAGAAATGCGGGAAATAAAAAAACAGATGATGAGTATGCATGGGAGCAGGCCTCTAAAAATTACAAAAAAAGAGGTAATCTTTTTATTTACAATAAAATAACAATAAAACAGCAAATTTATATTTAATAATAAAAATGTACTGAAGATGTCCTAATATGAATAATTATTGACTTGGCATTTAAATATTAACCAAGAGTAAATATTGTTTTATAAAAATCAAGGTTTGAATCAATAATAATATTTTTTTTGTAAACTAAATGCTTATATAAAAATACAAATATGTGATATGATTGCCAATGAACTCTCCATCAGAGACCAAATGACATAGAAGTAAACAACTATAGGTCACTGTACGGCCTTCAACAATGAACAAAACCCATTCCAAGTAGTAAGCTTTAAAAGCCCCTAAAATGACAAATGTAAAATAATTCAAATGAGAAAAAAATTATCTGATTTAATATAAACATGACATTTTGCTACTCAGCATACTTAGGCCACCATCAGTAACAGAAGAGGTTTTTTTCTGTAAAATATTCTGTCACTCACAATGTCTTAAGAGTTGTCAATTCATAATTTTTTTTGTTAGGCAACAAATTTGGGAAAGGTGATAAACCACAAAATGCAGGTCCTGTTGTTTGTAAAAATGGAACAAAAGTGCTTCTTGTAAAAAAAGAGGATCTTGGAAGACAAAAGGTTTGTATTCTATACATACAGATCTTGTGTTCAAAGTGCTTGCCTGTATTAAGCATCAACAATAACACATAGGATAATTATATAAGAATAAGAAGATGTGGTATGATTGCCAATGAGACAACTCTCCACAAGAGGACAAATGACATAGAAATTAACAGCTATATCAATATACCCAGAAGTCTTTTACAGAAGTTTAAGAAAAGTCAATTGGCGAACATTTAGACAACGAGCTACCTTAAATTATTAATAACAGGATAATTTTGGGAGTTATGGTACCAACAGTTTATGAATTAGGGGCCAAAAAGGGGCCAAAAAGAAGTGTTTTTGTAGTTTCCGGACAATAACTTGTGTGTTAGTGTATGGATCTCTCTGAAATTGTACCACAAGGTTCCATATCACAAAGGGAAGGCTTGGATTGAGTTTGGGGGTAATTGCCCTAAACGTTCAGGAAAAAGGAGCAAAAAAAAGGGGCCAAAAACAATGATTTTTCTAGTTTCCAGACAAAAACTTGTGTTTAAGTGTATGGATCTCTCTGAATTTGTAGTACAAGGTTCCATACCTCAAAGGGAAGGCTGGGATTGAGTTTGGGGGTAATTACTCCAAGGGGGGGTTCAAAAAGTTTGGAGGGGATTTTGTTTTCAAATTTTTTTTGGGGGTTCATATTTTTTATCTTCGAGATTTTTTCAAAATTTCAAATTTTTTTTTTTGGGGGGGGGGATTTTTTTCATAATTACACCTTATGTAAGAATGCTGGATTTTGATTGGTTGGTAGCCAGTGTATTTTTCGCATATTCTAACCTTTTTTTCTCATTTCAAACGAATTTTCATGTTTTTCACCACTGCCGGTGAATTTGCCTCAAATTCCCCTCTATGCCGTGGTATTTGCCATTTTGGATATTCCTTTTTTACCCTTGTGGGCTTCTTCCCGCCAAAATCATTAGGATATGACGTTACAACAAGACAGCGCTAACGCGTATAAGTACATGTATAATTCCCGCGGTATTATGATAGTCTCTACTTATCTTCAAAATTATGCATAAACATGTTTATGGGTTACAGCTGACTAGTAAAAAAAATATTTTCTTTCACCAGTACAGAGAGTTTCAATCAAAATCTATTCGGTGTAATTAAACAGATATATCATGTTATTGAGGGGTATTTGCGAAAAATACCAGTCTTGGGACCAAATTTCCCTTGCCTAGCGGCTCGGGAAATTTAACATTCCCTCGACTGGTATTTTTCGCAAATACCCCTCCATAACATGATATATGTGTTCATAATTTTCCATTTTTACATTGATTAATTCTGATTTATATATAAAAGCAACAAATACTGATATGGCAGGAGATACACACCAAACAGGGTGTGTAAATTATTATATATAACAGATTAACAGTATTGCGCAATAACAAGAAATCTTCAATTGCACAGTATTGCGCAATAGCAAGAAATCTTCAATTGCACAGTATTGCGCAATAGCAAGAAATCTTCAATTGCACAGTATTGCACAATAGCACATTATTAGGCAATAGCACAGTATTGCGCAATATCACAGGATTGCGCAATAGCACAGGATTGGGCAATAGCACAGTATTGTGCAATAGCAAGAAATCTTCAATTGCACAGTATTGCGCAATAGCACAGTATTGGGCAATAGCACAGTATTGCACAATATCACAGTATTGCCAAATTTCACAGTATTGCGCAATAGCAAGAAATCTTCAATTGAAAATAAATACAAATCTTTTAACCAATTTCAATGGGATTAATTGAAAGTCTTTAATTTTTGGGGGTTCTAACCTTGTATTACTATTTTGGATATTGGGCCCCATTTTTAAATTGGTCTACATTGAGGTCCAAAGGGTCCAAAATTAAACTTTGTTTGTTTTCATCAAAAACCTAATTTATTGTGGCTCTATGATATGCTATATCTTATTGTGCATTTAGATTTTTTTATTTTGGGCCCTGTTTTCACATTAGTCCATATTAAGGTTTGAAGGGTCCAAAATTAAACTGTGTTTGATTTCAACTAAAATTAAATTTTTGGTGTTTTTTTATGGGCTGAATATAACCCTCTTGTTAGATTTTGGATGTCAGACCATACTAGGTAAATTAAATGTCCCGTTTCAAATTTTTAAGATCTTTGACCACATTTATTTTGTGTCAGAAACCTATATTATGTAAAAAATTTGATCACAATCCAAATTCAGACAGTATCAAGCTTGAATATTGTGTCCAACCTTGCCCCAACTGTTCAGGGTTCGATCTCTGCGGTCGTATCAGGCTGTGCTAGGCGAAGCATTTTATTAATGTATTATACCTATATGGAAGTTATCCTCTGCACATATACTAATATGAATAACTAATAACTCTTCTTATAGCCAAAACCTGATCATCACAATTAGATTTTTAAAGCATTAACACATAGACAATATTTAGGGAGATATCAAGATATTTCAGGAAGAAAAATGTATTTAAATTTGAGCAGAAAACTATGGATTTTTCATAAACACAACATCATGAATAGGAGTTTGAGTCAAATCTATTTTGCTTCACATACATGGCTTTTGCATCGTTTACATTTCTCATTCATACTTTCCATGTAGGCTGATGTAATCATTTGCTCAACAAATGGTCAGTTAGATTTATCTGGTCCCGCTGGAAAGAGCATGGTGAATGCAGCTGGGCCAGAAATTCTGGTTGAAATTAAACAGAAATACAGTGATGGCATAGAACATGGTGAAATAGCTGTAGTTAGTGGCTACAAAATGAACTGTAAAGAAGTCTATTTAGCTGCCCTTCCTGGATGGTCACATGGTGGAGAGAAGGTATATTATCATTTGTTTATGTTATTAGTTTATTCCTAAATAAGGGAATATAAAGATCCAGCTAATTACCATATCCAGCACATTCAGCACATTTCTGAGCCTAGTACAATGCTCCAACTTGTGTTAAAAAAAAAACCACTTGTTTTGATAGATCTGAAGATAACTTATTGCTAAGCTTTGGAAGAATTAAAACAAAATTTAACTTGCTTGGCTTGTTAAAAATGAAAACAGCACTTTATAAATTTCATGTGTCCGAAGCACTTTTCTGGATTTATGAATTGAAAAATATATTTTTCTGCAATTATTATGTATTCTCAAATAAACATTTTTATATTTATGCTACAAATCTAAATGTGCTATCCTTATCTATCAACTAAAAATGCAAATTCATCAGTTTTAGATTAGTAGGTGTGTCAAAACATACCATACAAGATAATGAACAGTCTATTAACATTGTTTTTATACGACCGCAAAAATTAAGAATTTTTTGGTCGTATATTGGTATCACGTTGTTGTCGTCAGCGTCGTCCGAAGACAGATGGTTTCCGGATAATAACTTTAGTATAAGTAAATAGAAATCAATAAAATTTTAACAAAAGGTTTATAACCACTAAAGGAATGTTGGGATTGATTTTGGGGGTTATGGTCCCAACTGTTTAGGAATTAGGGGCCAAAAAAGGGGCCCAAATAAGCATTTTTGTAGTTTCCAGACAATAACTTGTGTTAAAGTGTATGAATCTCTCTGAAATTATACCACAAGTTTCCATACTACAAAGGGATGGTTAGGATTGACTTTGAGGGGTTATGGCTCAAACCATTTAGGAATTAGGGGCAAAAAAAGGGGAAAAACAAGGGTTTTTCTGGTTAAAGGACAATTGAGACAATTTAAAAGCAGTGTAAGGGAGGTAATCAAAATCAAAATCAATTTTAATAAAAATGTTTGATTACCTCCCTTACACTGCTTGTAAATTATGTATTAAGAAATGATGATTGTCTGAGATACTGACCATAACTTGAGGGAAAGAATTATTTTTTGGAATAAGGGAAAGGGGGAAGGTCAATTCGCATAGTGTATTGCACAAAAGCAAAAAATTGAATATAAATTCAAATCATATAACCAATTTAAAGTTCTTTGACTACAGTTATTCTGTGTCAGAAACCTATTATGTGTCAAAAATTTAATTACAATCCAAATTCAGACCTGTATCAAGCATGAATATTGTGTCCATTTTGGGCCCCAACTTTTCAGGGTTGGACATCTGCGGTCGTATACAGCTGAGCTCAGCAAAGCAATTTATTATTTCATGAACCAGGATTATAAAAGATAAATATAACACTTCTTTTTGTCAAATTGAAATGCTGTGTTTATGTAATTCTGTGCCAGTCATAACCAAGCCTATGATAGTTTTTGGGGAAACAAAATAATTTTTAATTATGTTTTTTTCTTTCAGATTATTGCTAAATGTGTTAACACATGCTTACTACAAGCATCTAAATACAAATCCATTGTGTTCCCAGCATTGGGAACAGGTAACCTTAGGTATCCCAGAGATCTTATAGCAGAGACCATGTATAAATGTGTCAGTCAGTTTGATCAGAGCAATACATCTTTGAAGGAAGTTAAATTCCTGTGTTATGATGATGAAACTATCAGGGTAAATTATTTGCTAAATTTATTGTTATACAAAACTGTTAAACTGATTTTCTTCCTACTCATTTACGATGAACTTTAAGTTTTAATCAACACCATTGTCCCATACTAGTTATATATATATATAAGTGAATTCTTTGATTCATCGTTTTTACGTCATACCGCCTAACAAATTGGACCTCTTTGTTTAGTATTATAGATACTTTAAATAAGTGATCAAATACTAAAGCTTCAAAATACAAACAAATATGCAGAAATTTACAGTCAGTAAGGAAAGCCTTTTTTATGCCCCCGCCGTAGCGGTGGGGGCATTAAGTATTACCCTTGTCCGTCTGTCCAAAAATTGGTTTCCGTTCTCTAACTTGAGTTTACCTCAACCAAATGTTATGAAACTTATACACAATGCTTATTACCACAAAACACAGATCAAGTTTGAATTTTGGTGGCATCACCTTAACCGTTCTAGAGTTATGCCCCTTTATAAATGGAAAAATTGCAAAATTTGTATTTTCTTCTAAATATCAAGTAATTTTTATACGACCGCAAAAATTAAAAATTTTTTGGTCGTATATTGGTATGACGTTGGCGTCGTCGTCGTCGTCGTCGTCGTCGTCGTCGTCGTCGTCGTCCGGCCACGTCCGAAGACACATTGGTTTTCGCACTCTAACTTTAGTTTAAGTGAATGGATCTCCATGAAATTTCACCATAAGGTTTAATACCACGAAAGGAAGGTTGGGATTGATTTTGGGGGTTATGGTACCAACAGTTAAGGAATTAGGGGCCAAAAAGGGGCCAAAAATAAGCATTTTTGTAACTTCCAGACAATAACTTGTGTGTAAGTGTATGGATCTCTCTGACATTGTATCACAAGGTTCCATATCACAAATGGAAGGCTGTAATTGATTTTGGGGGTAATTGCCTCAAAATTTTAGGAATTAGGGGCCAAAAAAGGGGCAAAAAACAAGCATTTTTCTAGTTTCATGACAATAACTTGTGTGTAAGTGTTTGGATATTTCTGAAATTGTACTACAAGGTTCCATATCACAAAGGGAAAGCTGGAATTGAGTTTGGGGGTAATTGCCTGAAATGTTTAGGAATTGGGGGCCAAAAAGGGGCCAAAAATAAGCATTTTTCTAGTTTCCAGACAATAACTTGTGTTCAAGTGTATGGATCTCTCTGAAATTGTACTGCAAGTTACCATACCACAAAGGGAAGGCTGGGATTGAGTTTGAGGGTGATGAATCATAAGGGGGTTCAAAAAATTTGGGGGGGGATTTTTTTTTTTTTTTTTTTTTCTTTTTTTCCTTTTTTTTTTTCCTTTTAAAATTTTCCATTTTAAGTTGGTTATTTCTGATTTACATTTAAAAGCAAATAATAATGATATGGTAGGAGATACACACCAAACAGGATGTGTAAATTATTATATAATAAGTATTGTGCAATAGCAAGAAATTTTCAATTGCACAGTATTGCACAATAGCAAGAAATCTTCAATTGCACAGTATTGCGCAATAGCAAGAAATCTTCAATTGCACAGTATTGCGCAATAGCAAGAAATATCCAATAGCACAATATTGCGCAATAGCAAGAAATTATCAATTGTACAGTATTGTGCAATAGCAAGAAATATTCAATTGCACAGTATTGTGCAAAAGAAGATACTTTGTATAAATTGCTTATTTCTTGATCAATTTCAATGGGGTTTATTCTTGAATTCTTGGGGTTCTTTAATATGCTGAATCTAACCGTGTATTAAGTTTTTGGATTTTGGGCCCCGTTTTTAAATTGGTCCACATTGAGGTCCAAAGGGTCCAAAATTTAACTTTGTTTGATTTCATCAAAAATTGAATTATTGGGGTTCTTTGATATGCCGAATCTAACCGTGTATTTAGATTCTTAATTTTTGGTTCCGTTTTCAAATTGGTCTACATTAAGGTCCAAAGGGTCCAAAATTAAACTTAGTTTGATTTTAACAAAAATTGAATTTTTAGGGTTCTTTGATATGCTGAATCTAAACATGTATTTAGATTTTTGATTATTGGCCCAGTTTTCAAGTTGGTCCAAATCGGGGTCCAAAATTAAACTTTGTTTGATTTCAACAAAAATTGAATATATGGGGTTCTTTGATATGCTGAATCTCACCATGTATTTAGATTTTGATTTTTGGGCCCTGTTATCAACTTTGTCCACATTGAGGTCAAAAGGGTCCAAAATTAAACTTTGTTTGATTTCATCAAAAATTGAATTCTTGGGGTTCTTTGATATGCTGAATCTAACCAACAATTGTATTTAGATTTTGGATATTGGACCATAATAGGTGAATGTCTAATTTAAAATTTTTAAGTTCTTAGACCACATTCATTCTGTGTCAGAAACCTATGCTGTGTCAAATATTTAATCACAATCCAAATTCAGAGCTGTATCAAGCTAGAATGTTGTGTCCATACTTGCCCCAACTGTTCAGAGTTTGACCTCTGCGGTCGTATCAAGCTGCGCCCTGCGGAGCATTTTATTAAAATTGGAGTTATCTTCCTTTATCCATGATTATAGTTGAATCAACTACAATCAATGCTTTATACAATGCAATGTTTAATTTTGACTTCCACTGATAAAACACAGATCAAGTTGAATTTGGGTAGTGTCACTTTAACCATGATTGAGTTATGCCCCTTTATAAATCGAAAGATTGCAAAATTTTTAGTTTCCATTCTGTAACTTAAGTTTGCCCCAACCAAACATTATGAAACCTATACACAATATTCATTACTACAAAACTAAGATCAAGTACAAATTTTTTGTTTCCGTTTTCTAACTTTAGTTTGCCTCAACCAAATGTTATGAAACTTATACACAATGCTTATTACTACATAATACAGATTAAGTACGAAATTTGGTGGCGACACTTTTACCATTCTTGAGTTATGTCCATTTATAAACATAAAAATTGCTGAATTTTTCGTTTCCGTTCTCTAACTTTAGTTTGTCTCAACCAAATGTTATAAAACTTATACACAACTGTTCTAGAGTTATGCATGTTTACAAATAGAAAAATTGCTGATTTTTTAGTTTCTGTTCTCTACTTAAGTTAGCCTCAACCAAATGTTATGAGACTTCCACACAATGCTTATTACCACAAAACTCAGATCAAGTTCAAATTTGGGTAGCGTCACTTTTACCGTTCTTCAGTTATGTCCCTTTATAACTATATGATATGCTAGCGGGGGCATCATCTGTGTCCACATGTGGACACTATCCACATTTATTTTTTTTTAGTTCTGTATGATAAGGTAAAAAAGATATCAATCAAAATATGTGAAGCATAAAAAAATTTGAAAAGAATCATTATTTGTCATCTTCTGCTTAAGTGATCTTAGAGGCAAATTCTGTACATATTTTAGCTTTAGTCATCATGTACATGTGAGGTAACAGAATGTCTTAAAACTTTTCTATTGTGCTTAAAAGATGTTAAACGCTGTCTCAGTCATTTCCTCATTTATTTGTCATGTTTTTCAGGCTTTTGAACAAGAGGAACTAAGACAGGTGAATCCAGGCTTTCAACCACATCGAGGTAAGTTACATCCACACAATTCTTATAAAGGTTCTAAGTGTTAACTCAGACAGTGCCACAATATAAGTACTACTTATACCACCTGTAAAAGAGTACAGAGTGTTATATAGGAATCACTGAGCCAAGATTTTTCTATCATTTTCCAGGTCATTAAATAATCCTGGAGTTTGATATATGACCTGTTTTCACCAGTATTCTGGTCTGGTCTGACTTTGATGTTTGAAATTCAAAATTTTCCTTAAAATAATATAGATTATGACATTCTACATTGATGGGATTTAGACAATTCTCTTATGTGTTTATATAAACCGTATCTTTAAAAAATGTCATAATTTATCAAAGGAACAAGCAAAATTAATTCTGAAATTACAGTTGGCAGAAATTAATAATAACCATTAGAAAGTACATTGATGAACAATTTTGAGGTCAGAATACACAACCTATAGCCAGAGAGAAATACCAAGCCCATATATTGTATAGCATGCAGACAACTCTTAAATATAAATCATGGGATACAACTCTTTTAAAATTATAGAATATGGGAGACAACTCTTAAAATGTAAAACTGAGAGACAACTATATGTGTATAAGTAGTTGGCATCAATAAAGTGCCTTTTCTGAAATGCAAATTTTAATTAATATACTGTATACTACAATGGTTTTTAAATACCATACTGTGATGCACCTTTCTTACACATCTGACAACATTGAGATGTCTATGAATTAAAAGAAAAGTATATTGTAAAATGCATTTGTTTTAATTATTTAATAAAAGATGTTATAATTAATAAATGACAGTTTGGGGATTTAATCTATAAGAGGGTTTATTATTATAGTTTGGTAAGTTTGTCTTATGATTTTTCGTGTAATGTGTTTGCTAGTTTTTATACGACCGCAAACAAATTTTGGGGTCATATAATGCTATCACGTCGTCGTCGACTGAAGACATTTGGTTTCCGGACAATACCTTTAGTTTATGTGTATGGATTTCTATGAAATTTAACCAAAAGGTTCAATACCACAAAAGGAAGATTGGGATTGTTGTTGGGGGTGATGGATCCCAAACAAGCATTTTTCTAGTTTCAGGACAATAACTTGTGTATAAGTATTGTGATAGCTCTGCAATTTTTCCCTTAAGATTTAAAAAGTTAAAATAGAAGATTTCTTTAAATATTTTTTTTTTTGGAAAAGGGTGGGGGGGGGGGGGGGGGGTAAAAAAAATTTTCCTTAAGGATGTATTCTTCTGACGTTTCAGTCTCGTTGAAAAATTGTGTATCTACAATGAGTAGTGTAGTTTTTGAGTAATCAATTTTTCAAATTTTACGACCAATCAAGTCAGTCTTTTTAGCCAAAATTTTGAGAAAATGGGTGAGGGGTACAAAAAATGATTTCACCAGAATCAAGAACATCCCATATCATTTTTTTCTTTTCAAATTTCTTAGATATGTATTTTTTCAATCATTTATAACAAAAAAGTTGAAAAATATGCATTTTGTTTTTAAACCTGAGAAAAATCACAAATTTACAAAATTGACAGCATAGTAAATTTGACACAAAAAAGCATCAAAATATGATAAAACTTTCTTATATTAACACCTACCTATAGTTTTTATACCCCGCCGTAGTGGTGGGGGCATTAAGTTTTACCCTTGTCCGTCTGTACGTACGTACGTACGTCCCAAAATTGGTTTCCGTTCTCTTACTTGAGTTTGCCTCAACCAAATGTTATGAAACTTATACACAATGCTTATTACCACAAAACACAGATCAAGTTTGAATTTTGGTAGCGTCACTTTAACCGTTCTAGAGTTATGCCCCTTTATAAATGGAAAAATTGCAAAATTTTTAGTTTCCGTTCTCTAACTTAAGTTTGCCTCAACCAAATGTTATGAAACTTATACACAATGCTTATTACCACAAAACACAGATCAAGTTTGAATTTTGGTGGCATCACTTAATCAGTTCTAGAGTTATGCCCCTTTATAAATGGAAAAATTGCAAAAATTTTAGTTTCCGTTCTCTAACTTAAGTTTGCCTCAACCAAATGTTATGAAACTTATACACAATGCTTATTACCTCAAAACACAGATCAAGTTTGAATTTTGGTGGCATCACTTAATCAGTTCTAGAGTTATGCCCCTTTATAAATGGAAAAATTGCAAAATTTTTATTTTCTTCTAAATATCAAGTTGTTTTTAAAATTGGAGTTATCTTCCTTTGTCCATGATTATAGTTGAATCAACTACAATCAATGCTTTATACAATGCAATGTTTAATTTTGACTTCCACTGATAAAACACAGATCAAGTTGAATTTGGGTAGTGTCACTTTAACCATTATTGACTTATGCCCCTTTATAAATCGAAAGAGTGCAAAATTTTCAGTTTCCATTCTGTAACTTAAGTTGCCCCAACCAAACATTATGAAACCTATACACAATATTCATTACTACAAAACTAAGATCAAGTACAAATTTTTTGTTTCCGTTTTCTAACTTTAGTTTGCCTCAACCAAATGTTATGAAACTTATACACAATGCTTATTACTACATAATACAGATTAAGTATGAAATTTGGTGAGAACACTTTTACCATTCTTGAGTTATGTCCCTTTATAAACATAAAAATTGCTGAATTTTTAGTTTCAGTTCTCTAACTTTAGTTTGTCTCAACCAAATGTTATAAAACTTATACACAACCGTTCTAGAGTTATGCGTGTTTACAAATAGAAAAATTGCTGAATTTTTAGTTTCTGTTCTCTAGTTAAGTTAGCCTCAACCAAATGTTATGAGACTTACACACAATGCTTATTACCACAAAACTCAGATCAAGTTCAAATTTGGGTATCGTCACTTTTACCGTTCTTCAGTTATTTTTAGTTAAATTTATTTAGATTGGTCCACTTCATCTTTAAATAAGTATGAAATAAAGTTTAATTGTGGAATTGTGATTTTTTTTCACGATAATAGCCCAAAAATAGGTAAAAATTGATGAAAAATGGGAAAATCATCAAAATTGGGTACTTTCAAAGGGCCGTAGCAAAGAAAGAAGTGCACCACCATAAGATTTTTTCTTCACCAATTATTTTTTTACAGTCATATAAACCCAAAAATCAGGTTAAGAAAAAAAGTTTAATTCTAGAAATTTTTGGCTCCTCAGAGGTGTACATCCTTAAGATTTAAGAAATTGTCAATTTTCCAAAGAAAAATTGGGAGTCACAATTTATTTTGCTAATTCTTTGTATATAGTCTGAAAACAGATTTACTAAGTATTGTGCAACAGCACAGTGTATTGCACAAAAGCAAGAAATCTTCAATTGAAAATAAATTCAAATAATATAACCAATTTCAAGTTCTTTGACTACATTTATTCTGTGTCAGAAACCTGTAATGTGTCAAATATTTAATTACAATCCAATTCAGACCTTTATCAAGCTTGAATATTGTGTCCATTTTTGCCTCTGCTGTGGTATCCAGCTGCGCTTATTAATTTCTTTTATCAGAGAAACCATGTTTTGCTGTGCACTTTTTACAGAATTCGTATATTATAGGGACAATTAATTAAATTATACTCATACCTATTTTAGCTGCAGCCAGTGGTCTAGCAAGTGGTCCCAAGTATTACAAAAAACACAACACATCTGTTAAAGTGGTGAAAGGAGATCTTGGCACTCAAAAGGTATATAGTTGAACATAGATCTTTACAAAACAAACTGGAAACTTAGAATTTATCACAGTCAAGTTTATAATATTAGACCACAACAAAAAAAGCTCTTCTTAGACCCCGTTCACACTTGGACATTTAGATCATTTTAAACTAGATCGGTTCACTTTAGATCAATTTAAGCCCAATGTGAACTCGTTGAATCGATCTTTAAGCGGTCTGAACTAAAACACTGTATGAGGTAGCTTAGTTTGAATCGATCTAAAGTGAACCAATCTAACTTTAAATGTGAACGCAGAGATCAGTCTAAACTAGTACGATTGAATCCAAAATAATTTGTGTGCATGTATGGCGGTAAACTTACACATGCAAATTTATTACAAAATGGATGACCACCATAAAAGGGCTGAAAATTAATGAAAACAGCAGTATCAACATTTGAACTTGTAATTCTAGTGAAGCAATAACATGATCGATTATTTATTACAAGCATTTGTATCAAAACATTAATTTGATTAAATATTTCTATTTATACAAATTGTGTTTACAATTTCTCAGGTAATTAGGTCAGATTGATTGCATTTTTACTAGTAGTGCGAACGCAGTGGTTCAGATTTAGACTGATAGAGATCCTTGCGATTAAAGATAATGTGAACGCTAACTGGTTTTATTTAGATTGATTCAAATTTAGATCGATTAAAAAAATGCTATTGTGAATAGGGACTCACTTGTTCATCATTTTGTGTATCAAAACTCTATTAAATAAATAAAGAAATTGATGATACCTATAATGTTTTAAAAACAAAATAGATACTTGAATTGGTGAATCAGAAGGTTCAATCAAAGCAGAGGACATTGCTTAGCAGTGCATGTTTTTATCTTTCGTAATGTTACGATTTTCTATAATAAATGTAACTTTGTGTGAATAAATAAATATTATTTACATGTAAGTTTTAGAATTAAAATGCTATCCTAATGTTTGTATCTCTTTTGTAAAGTAACCAATTGAATGTTTCATAATTATCAGTGTTTGTATGTAAATCAATTCTGAAATGAAGCCAAATGATTTTTATTTAACTTTGTTTTGCTATAATTATTGCTTATTATGTAATGTCTGTTAATAGGTTGATGTTTTGATTTGTGCTGTTCCCAAAGAATTAAATTTAGAAAGTGCTGGTGGTGCTGGTAAATCTTTAATGCAAGGTCTTGGTATCGCTGTACAACAAGATATACTTAGTCAGCATCCAAGTGGGGTCACCAATGGGGGATTTGCTGCAGTGAAATTATCATCACCTCCAGGGCAATGTAAAAGTGTTTACTTAACTTCCCTTGAGCCTTGGGATAACCAAAAGAAAGTTCCAAAGGATGAAGATAAAGTGAGTATACATATTTGACAAAATTATAGCATACAGTTATTTATAGATGGAGTCTATGAACTGATTGAGTGTACATCTGTAAAAACCATAAATTTTACTACTCTTTTGAATGACATGCTCTAAAACTGTCTCAGAATCATCAGTATTTAGTGGTCTCTATTATCTAGACTCCTACTTAGGCAAAGGCTTATATTGGTTAAAGGATGAAACTAGTTTTTATATAAGAAAGAACATGTTTTAATCAATCAAAAATTTTAGCCCATGTTTATCAAATATTTTCATTTCTTTGTTTTTCCCAATAGTAAATAGTACTTCTTTTAGTATAGTATTAAAACATCAACTTTTCAGAATTGAGTAAAAAATACCCAGAATATTTGTAAACTTTGACAGCTATGGGATGTTATTTGTTGATATAACAAAACAGGGTTATGTAATAAGCATTTGTCACCTTCAATTTTTATACGCCCGTTTACGTGACGTATTATGGTATACTGTTGTCCGTCGTCAACATGTCGGACATTAACTCAAAAACGCTTTAACTAATTTGCATAAAACTTTGGTGAATTGACGTGAGCTCCCTTTTGTTTTTTATAAATTTTAGATTTTACGTTTCCGAGTTATGGGGTTTTATTCATTAAAAAAAGGGGGATTTTCCAGTTTTCGGACAATAACTCAAGAATGCTTTCACCAACTTGCAAGAAATTGTGGTGAATTGTTTATATCTATTGACATGAGCTCCATTTCAATTTTTATATATTTTAGATTTTACGTTTCCGAGTTACAGGGTTTAATTCATAAAAAAAGGGGGATTTTCCAGTTTTCAGACAAAAAATCAAAAATGCTTTCAGCAGTTCTTATGAAACTTTGGTGAATTGTTTATATCTATTGATGTAAGCTCCGTTTAGAATTTATAAATTTTTCGTTTATCATTTCTGAGTTATGGGATTTTATTCATTAAAAAAGGGGGGATTTTCCAGTTTTTGGACAATAACTTCAGCAGTTCTTATGAAACTTTGGTGAATTGTTTATATCTATTGATGTAAGCTCCCTTTACATTTTCATAAATTTCTAATATGACATTGAGAATTAATTGAACTTTATTTGTTTATAGTCTGACAACAGATTTACTAAGTATTGCACAACAGCAAGAAATCTTTTATTGAATATAAATTCAATTCATATAACCAATTTCAAGTTCTTTGACTACATTTATTCAGAAACCTATAATATGTCAAATATTTAATTACAATCCAAATTCAGACCTGTATCAAGCTTGAATATTGTGTCCATTTTTGCCCCAACTGTTCAGGGTTGGACCTCTGCGGGCGTATCCAGCTGCGCTCAACAAAGCAGTTTATTGCTATAACATTTCATATAAAACTATATTTTTTAAAATATTATGAGGTAATTTTTGTTTGGATTTTAATGAACTTGGTATTATCAGTAGAATCAGAATTGTTCAAATACATTTTGCATATATTTTTGATGTGAAGTGTTCTCATTTTCTAATGATATAAACCCAAAATTTACTTATTTGCTATAAATTTCAAATAAAGTAGGTTGTAAAGGAGAAACAAAAACAAACTGAAGACAAAGTTATGACCAAATAAACAAATATGATGCAAATAATTCTGCTTTTATTGGCACCAAGTTTATTGAAATCCCTTCATTTTCTTCCTTCAAATATTTTTTAGTAAAAAATGTAGTTTCATATGAAATATACAACAAAAAAATGAAGGTGACGAATACTTATTGCATAACACTGTACCTTGCATTTGTGTTCTTGACTGCCTGGTATTGAATATTTTTTGCATCTAGAATTTCACTGCCAGGGGCCCTCTTAAACACGTAGTGAAAAATAAGGATTTGTTTCATCTTTAAGGTCTTACGTGGACTTTAACATGAGCAGCAACAATAAAAGTGAGGTCTGTTCTTTTGCTTTGGGTTTTGTCAACTATGTTTTTATACATACGTTTACGGGACATATTATTGTGTACCGTTGTCCATCCGTCCGCATGTCTGTCCTTTCATCTGTCATCAACATGTCTGACAATAACTCAAAACACTTTAATTAATTTGCATGAAACTTGGGTGAATTGTTTATATCTATTGACGTGAGCTCCCTTTCGATTTTGAATTTTACGTTTCCGAGTTATGGGGTTATATTCATTAAAAAAGAGGGATTTTCCAGTTTTGTCACAGTAACTCAAAAATGCTTTGAGAAGTTTTCATGAAACTTTGGTGCCAGGTTTTTATCTATTAAAATAACCTATTGGTTTTTTTTTAAATTTCTGATAAGACATTGAGGAGTTATGGAACTTTATTCTTTGAAAAGCGACTGGCGTATATTGCACTCATGGCGCAGCTCTTTATTGATTTTTGAACTACTATAAATGTATATAAAAGTAGTACATGTATAATTGTTGAAAAATTAGCCTTACAACTTTGTTCTTTGAAATGCCATTCTAATAGCTATGTAAAAAATTACAGATAAAAACACTGAATTTGATACAAATAAAATCACAAGTTGACAAGAGTGTTAAGCTTAATTCTTTTGAAATTAAAATTTTCAGCAAATCTGTAAGTTTGTGTACCAGTGTCTTGAGACTGCTGAGAAAAGTGGTTACAAATCAATTGGCATTCCTGCAATGGGAACTGGGACGATTGGATATCCTCATCATCTTGTGGCTAAGTACATGTATGACATGGTGGAAAAATTTGTAACTAAACACAAAAGTAGCAAGCTGACAGATGTAAAGTTAATTGTTCATAGCAAAGATAACAAGTCTATTACGGTAATTATAATCTTATTGTCATTAATGCATCATTATCTTATGTGTAAGGAACTAAATATATCGTAAATTCAGAAATACTTCACATTAATTTCTGAATTTACAGTATGAAAATCAGAGGACATTTTTTTAAGGAGATACTTTGTTTTCTCCAGTTTTATATGGTGAGACTTTCATAAACTTGAATCTGAATTTGCAGTTTGCTACAAACAATTTAAATCTAAAGGACCCTCAAAATATTTGATCAAAAGTCTTTTGTTTGATAGCTATTCTAATATTATAAGTAATTGCTTCAAACATTTTTTTAAAACAGGAGTCAAGAAATTTATTCAATAGGCAAGATACAACAACTTGAAACAAAAAAAGTATATCATTTACTAATGAGAAATACATTAAATAAAAGAAGAACTCAATAGGGTCATCAAACAGATATCTTGGTATGAATAATAAAAAGAACAGATTAGAGGATGAACAAGGAAATCAAATAATGTTCATTTGCCTTACGCTATAATGTTTCACAACAAAAACATAAGCAATAAACAGGGGCACATTGATCTTTTTGAAAACTGAATTAGGTAAATAAAAAAATTATAAGACAATTTTCAATATTAGAAAAACACTTTATGAATAAACATATATATATGGATTTTTTTGAGTATATTTCACATAAATTTCATGTTGATAATCAAAGATGTTTAACTGTATGATGAATACTTTACCAGGCATTTTATGATGAAGAAAAGAAAAGGTTACCTGCTCCAGCTCATGTACCAGTCCAGGCTGGTCACCACAAGTTTGCTTCTGGTGATAGTTCTGGTAGCACTCAAGTAGTTCCCAAAGTTGTCAGTGATAGTGGTAAGTTTGGGTTTAAGGATTTCAGTTTCCACATACAATCTACAGGGGAAAGGATATACCAGTAAATGAAAATATTTTGATTGTGAGGCAAAAACTTTTAACCACATAATTTAGAGTGATTTTTATATTTGCGGTCGTATATTGGTATCACGTCGTCGTCGTCCAAAGGCATTTGGTTTCCGGACAATGACTTTAGTTTATGTAAATAGAAATCTATGAAATTTTAACACAAGGTTTATAACCACAAAAGGAAGGTTGGGATTGATTTTTGGGGTGATGGTCCTAACAGTTTAGGAATTAGGGGCCAAAAAGGGGCCCAAATAAGCATTTTTGTAGTTTCCAGACAATAACTTGTGGAAAGGTGTATGGATCTCTAAGAAATTAGACCACAAGTTTCCATATCACAAAGGGATGGTTAGGATTGGCTTTGGGGGATTATGGCTCAAACCATTTAGGAATAAGGGGCAAAAAAGGGGGAAAAACAAGGGTTTCCTGGTTAATGGACAATTACTTAAAAGTACAATGTTATGTTTGGATTACCTCCCTTACACTGCTTTTAAATTATGTATAAAGAAATGTTGTATTGTCTTGAGGTGATTAGCTGTCAATTTATTTTCAGAAGTTACTATTAAAAATGCTGATTAAGGAATATTAATTTTAGCCATAATTATGTATGTCATTTTCTATTTTAAGACTTTTATGATGTATTTAAATGGGTAATTATGGTTGCAAACTCCATTGGAAATTTGAATTGAGATTATGACCATATCTGGAGGGTAAGATTTATTTTTTTGAAAAAGAGGGGGGGGGGAGGTAAAAAAGAAATTGGGGGGGGGGGGACAATTTTTTCTCATTTCAGATTTCAGAAATTAAAAAGAAAATTTCTTCAAATGTTTTTTTTTTTTTTTTTTTGCAAAAAAAAGGAAGGAGGGGGGGGGGGGGCAAAAAATTAAATATAAATTCAAATCATATAACCAATTCTAAGTTCTTTGACTACAGTTATTCTGTGTCAGAAACCTATTATGTGTCAAATATTTCATTACAATCCAAATTCAGACCTGTATCAAGCACGAATATTGTGTCCATTTTTGCCCCAACTGTTCAGGGTTGGACCTCTGCGGTCGTATCCAGCTGCGCTCGGCGAAGCAATTTATTATCACATGAATATAAAACAAATATTGTTCATTTGAATCTTTTGAAAATAGCTGCCTACTTGGCTTTCTAAATCATCAGTGTTACTGTGTATCTCGAAGATCACTTTTTTTACATATCTTAGTTTTCATATGAGTCTACCATTCTCCATATATCTTGATTACTAAAATTATTATCACTGGATGAAAACACTTTCTTTTTCAGAATTCCAGGTTGGGAGTGTAAAGTTAACAGTAGAACAAGGTGATATTTTATCAAAGAAATGTGATGCCATAGTAAATGGAACTAATCATGATTTTGACCTGACCAAAGGTAAGTTGCTACAATTTCAGTATGAAAAAAAAATTTGAAAACATTACCCTTTTAAACTATCAACAATACTTATAAGCACATTTAGAGCTAAAATGTAGCTTTATTAAGATTCACAACATTCAGAAATTAATCAGTATTTATGCAATTATCATTTTATCACAAATTTAATCCTGCACAAAAGGTTTAGGTATTGAAATCACAAAAATAAGAAACTGACTCAGGTTACAGTATGTTGGATTCTTAAACTTTATTTGATAGGCTGAAAAATCCAGTTTGAATGACTCTTGTGTTTAAGCAATAAGATGGTCCATAACAAATGATTGTATCAATCTGTGTATTACCACCAAAAAAAAATCCAAAATGAAAGAAATAGACAATAGTGATGGAGAAACAAGCAGTCAAAAATAGTGATTAAAAGTTGAAAAAATATAATTCATGTTTCAGTTCCAATTTTCAAGGATATTTCATTATTAAGTTTTGGGTAGGTTGGAAGTGTTAACCTAGTTTAATCCAGACGCTCACTTTTACAAAATAAGTGACACATGAAAATTTGAAAATTAATCGTTTAATATCTCATAAAAATTGATAGCAGGAATCGCCAAAAAAACAAACCACACAGTTCAACTGACCTCATCATCCCCCAACATTCTAGTTCCCTAAAAAATGTCGAGACATACAAACAAACCCTATAGTTACTTATATCAACATCCTTTGGTCTCTGGTATAGATAGTTGTCTCATTGGCAATCATACTACATTTTCTTATTTTTTATAAAGAACAATGAGCATATGGTCCAGATAGCCTGATTTGGTACATGCCCTCATGTGGTGGGGTTAATGTCATTTGCTCTATGTGTGAGTGATTTAAAACTTTATCGGTCGTCCCACTGTCTATATTAGCCTGCTCAGCTCTTAATAAAATATCATGGCTTTATGACGTCAAATACATTTGACCCGGCCTTAATAACATTGACCCAGACATAACAGCGACATCAATATGTTTGAACCAACATTGGTAAGTTTGACCCGAACTTATCAAGTCATCTTCTGGTTTGCTGGTGAAACAAAGAAAACACTTGCAAAATACACAAATACAAATACGATAAATCGAGTATCAGGTTGTCTGCATATTGAGATTGTAAAATATCAGCTGCTTGACACAATATGAAGGGTTTTTGAACGCGTTCGCTGCGATAACTCTACAAAAAGCTTCATATTGTGACTCGCAGCTGATATTTTACAATATCAATATGCAGACAACCTGATAAGAGGTACTTAAAAGACCATCAATATTAACTTAGGGTTAAGTACACATGTGACTTTATAGGCAGAGATTAAGGGATAGATATTTTATTGCTTAATACTTTTCACTTATTTTATATAAGTAATAAGATTCACTTTCAAAAGTCCACAGAAACTTTGACTAACATTCTAAATCATTAGCTGTTTGGTACTGAAAAAAGTAAAATAACAAAAATACCGAACTCCAAGGAAAATTCAAAACGGAAAGTCCCTTATCCAATGGCAAAATCAAAAGCTCCAACACATCAAACGAAAGGAAAACAACTGTCATATTCCTGACTTGGTACAGGCATTTCCTTGAGTAGAAAATGGTGGATTAAACCTGATTTTATAGCTAGCTAAACCTCTCACTTGTATGACAGTCGCATAAAATTCCATTATATTGACAACAATATGTGAACAAAACAAACAGACATAACAGGAAAACATGTCAAAAATAGGGGTGTGATAATGTAATAACACATAAAAAGGGATAACTGGAATGCAAATATACTGCACAGTAAACATACCACATGAACAGCTGACTCCTCTGAAAAAACTAGGCATACAATCAAAGTCTAACAGCTGTTAATGTAATTATCTTGACTGCATTATTTGATTTAATTATCAAAGTTTCGTAGGCTTTTTTAGCATTCAACTTGTCCATCTATCCAACAAATATTTTTGTATCAATTTTTATACGCCCGTTTACGGGACTTATTATGGCATACCGTTGTCCGTCTGTCCGTCCGTCCGTCCGTCCGTCTGTCTGTCCGTCTGTCCGTCATCAACATGTCGGACATTAACTCAAAAATGCTTTAACCAATTTGCATAAAACTTTGGTGAATTGTTTATATCTATTGACGTGAGCTCCTTTTCGTTTTTTATAAAATTTAGATTTTATGTTTCCGAGTTATGGGGTTTTATTCATTAAAAAAAGGGGGATTTTCCAGTTTTCTGACAATAAGTCAAGAATGCTTTCACCAACTTGCAAGAAATTGTGGTGAATTGTTTATATCTATTGACATGAGCTCGCTTTCGATTTTTATAAATTTTAGATTTTACGTTTCCGAGTTATGGGGTTTTATTCATAAAAAAAGGGGGGATTTTCCAGTTTTCGGACAAAAACTCAAAAATGCTTTCAGCAATTCTTATGAAACTTTGGTGAATTGCTTGTATGTATTGATGTAAGCTCCCTTTAGAATTTTATAAATTTTACATGTTACATTTTTGAGTTATGGGGTTTTATTCATTAAAAAAGGGGGGATTTTCCAGTTTTCGGACAATAACTCAAAAATGCTGTCACCAATTCTCATGAAACTTTGGTGAATTGTTTATATCTATTGATGTAAGCTCCCTTTTTATTTTCATAAATTTCTATCATGACATTGAGAATTTATTGAACTTTATTTGTTTATAGTCTGACAACAGATTTACTAAGTATTGCACAACAGCAAGAAATCTTTAATTGAATATAAATTCAATTCATATAACCAATTTCAAGTTCTTTGACTACATTTATTCAGAAACCTATAATATGTCAAATATTTAATTACAATCCAAATTCAGACCTGAATCAAGCTTGAATATTGTGTCCATTTTTGCCCCAACTGTTCAGGGTTGGACCTCTGTGGGCGTATCTAGCTGCGCTCAGCGAAGCAGTTTATTTCTCAGGTACTACTGATCAGGATGTAAATCCCATTTTTGTGGAGTCTGTGACTTTTGTCGCAGAAAGCTCGACATAGGGATAGTGATCCGGACGTGGAGGCGCCAGCTAACTTCTTAAAAGCTTTATATTTTAGAAGGTGGAAGATCTGAATGCTTCCTACTTTGTATATGGATGCCTCATGTTACGAAGTTTCCGTCAGTCACATGTCCAATGTCCTTGACCTCATTTTCATGGTTCAGTGACTAGTTGAAAAAAAAGTTCAGATTTTTTGTAATGTTAAATTCTCTCTTATTGTAAGTAATAGGATAACTATATTTGGTATGTGCGTACCTTGAGAGGTCCTCATGCCCGTCAGACAGTTTTCACTAGACCTCGACCTCATTTCATGGATCAGTGAACAAGGTTAAGTTTTGGTGGTCAAGTCCATATCTCAGATACTATAAGCAATAGATCTAGTATATTCGGTGTATGGAAGGACTGTAAGGTGTACATGTCCAACTGGCAGGTTTCATCTGACCTTGACCTCATTTTCATGGTTCAGTGGTTATAGTTAAGTTTTTGTGTTTTGGTCTGTTTTTCTTACACTGTATGCAATAGGTCTACTTTATTTGGTGTATGGAATGATTGTAAGGTGTACATGTCTAGCTGGCAGGTGTCATCTGACCTTGACCTCATTTTCATGGTTCAGTGGTCAAAGTTAAGTTTTTGTGTTTTGGTCTTTATTTCTAATACTATATGCAATAGTTCAACTATATTTGGTGTATGGAAATATTTTATGATCTATATGTCAGTCACGCAGGTTTTATTTGACCTTGACCTCATTTTCAAGGTTCATTGCTCAGTGTTAGATTTTTGTGTTTTGGTCTGTTTTTCTTAAACTATAAACAATAGGTCAACTATATTTGGTGTATGGAATGATTGTAAGGTGTACATGTCTAGCTGGCAGGTGTCATCTGACCTTGACCTCATTTTCATGGTTCAGTGGTCAAAGTTAAGTTTTTGAGTTTTGGTCTTTATTTCTAATACTATATGCAATAGTTCAACTATATTTGGTGTATGGAAATATTTTATGATCTATATGTCAGTCACGCAGGTTTTATTTGACCTTGACCTCATTTTCAAGGTTCATTGCTCAGTGTTAGATTTTTGTGTTTTGGTCTGTTTTTCTTAAACTATAAACAATAGGTCAACTATATTTGGTGTATGGAATGATTGTAAGGTGTACATATCTAGCTGGCAGGTGTCATCTGACCTTGAACTCATTTTCATGGTTCAGTGGTCAAAGTTAAGTTTTTGAGTTTTGGTCTTTTTTTCTAATACTATATGCAATAGTTCAACTATATTTGGTGTATGGAAATATTTTATGATCTATATGTCAGTCAAGAAGGTTTTATTTGACCTTGACCTCATTTTCAAGGTTCATTGCTCAGTGTTAAGTTTTTGTGTTTTGGTCTGTTTTTCTTAAACTATAAGCAATAGGTCAACTATATTTGTTGTATGGAAGAATTGTTAGCTGTACATGCCTACCTAGCATGGTTCATCTGACCTTGATCTCATTTTCATGGTTCATTGGTCAATGTTTAGTTTACTTGGTTAATGTTAAGTTTATGTGACAGTTGTAATAAAGCTTTATATTTAGGACTATCAACATAATATCAATGATTAGTAAAGAAGGCGAGATATTTCAGCGTGTGCACTCTTGTCAAACACATGAGGGGTATGCTTAACATGACAACACATGCAACTTGCTTTAATGATTACATTTATATGTTACAGGTGCTGTTTCTCAAGCTTTAAGAAAGAAATGTGATGCTAAAAAGCTGGATATTGAGGTCTCTAAGAAAAGTAAGTGTATAGTCTCTATAAATACACATACAAAATGCAGAGATAGAAAAAAATTGTATAACTATGGAGAAAATAAAGAAAGAAGTACTGTAAATTCAGAAATTATTGCGATGTTTTTATTACTGCGAAAAATGCGACAGGGTAATAATCGCAATAATTTAAACTCGCATTTTGAAATATTTTATATGTATTAAACAGGATTTTTCTCAATATCGCAAAAATTAAAATCGCATTTTAGTCTAAAATAACAAAATCGCAATAATAAATGCACGCAATAATTTCTGAATTTACAGTATACTTAAAGGGAACAATCATCATAGCATGCAACATTTTTAAAAATTTTATTGTTATTGTTCAATTTTCTAGCTTACTTAACATGTGATTATCTGCAATGTAAAGTCTAGGAATCATTCTAGTAAAAAAGTACATAGTGGCAAAGTGACATCAATTATTGAGGAATATCTAGAATTGTTTATTAGTCTTGTTTACTAGTAATGAGTCTTATGTAAGAGTTTTATTATCCTTTAGCTGTTAAAAAGCAGGATTTGCAAAATTGTGAAAGAAATTTAAAAAATGTATTTTATTTTAGAGGATGAAATGAAGCAGTATGGCTATGCAAGAACAAGTGGTTGTGGTTTACCTTGTGAACATATCATACATATCTCCTCTCAACATAAACCACATGAATGGAAAAAGATCATTAAAAAAGCTCTGGCAAAAGCTGATAAGAAACAGATTAAAACAATGGCATTCCCTGCTTTAGGAACAGGTAAAATCTCTAATAGTATAGACATAAATACACTTTTAGTTATTTAGCTGAATTTGTTTCGAAATACCCTAGCTCCATATACCGTAACCTTCTGACATCATGCAACAATCATTTTTATATGACCGCAAAAAATTTTGTGGTTGTACATTGGTATCACGTCGTCATCGTCCGAAGACATTTGGTTTCCGGACAATTACTTTAGTATAAGTAAATAGAAATCTATGAAATTTATACACAAGGTTTATAACCACAAAAGAAAGGTTGGGATTGATTTTGGGGGTTATAGTCCTAACAGTTTAGGAATTAGGGACCAAAAAGTGGCCCAAATAAGCATTTTTCTAGTTTCCAGACAATAATTTGTGGAACGGTGTATGGATCTCTCTGAAATTATACCACAAGTTTCCATACCACAAAGGGATGGTTAGGATTGGCTTTGGGGGGGTTATGGTTCAAACCTTTTAGGAATAAGGGGCAAAAAAGGGGGAAAAACAAGGGTTTCCTGGTTAATGGACAATTACTTAAAAGTACAATGTTATGTTTAGATTACCTCCCATACACTGCTTTTAAATTATGTATAAAGAAATGTTGTATTGTCTTGAGGTGATTAGCTGTCAATTTATTTTTAGAAGTTACTATTAAAAATGCTGATTAAGGAATATTAATTTTAGCCATGATTATGTATGTCATTTTCTATTTTAAGACTTTTATGATGTATTAAAATGAGTAATTATGGTTGCAAACTCCATTGGAAATTTGAATTGAGATAATTTTTGAAAAAGTGGACCAATTCTTAGTTCTTTGACTACAGTTATTCTGTGTCAGAAACCTATTATGTGTCAAATATTTAATCACAATCCAAATTCAGACCTGTATCAATCATGAATATTGTGTCCATTTTGGCCCCAACTTTTCAGGGTTGGACCTCTGCAGATGAATCCAGCTGCACTCGGCGAAGCAATTTATTTCACATATTTAGATACTTGTAGATACTCTAATGAAAAAAACATATTAAGGGCACTATCACCACATAAAATCAGTACAGAAAATTGTGCTGAAGTACAAAATAAGATCAAGAAGACAAATTTTATTCAACATTTTTTTTTTCAGTATAGTTTCATTTTCTATATATATGTAAGGCATCAAGGTAACATTGTGATATGTATTACCATTTTCATAAGCCTGATTATCTGTATTGTTTTAATCTGATGAAATGCCCTAGGCACTGAAACATGTTGATCTGACTTAGATTGCTGCAGCAGTCACTTAAGTGTAAGTGTTGTTGTTACATTTAATGTGTATTATCATCACATCCCTGTATACCTGTGGAATCCTCTTCAGAAGGATTCTATCATATTGAAGATTTACCCGATTTACTGTGCTTTAGTTCACTCTTGTTTATGATTTAATTATTTATGAAATGGTTTCTTTGCAGGAGAAAGTGACACACAAGGTATTCCCTTCTTAAACATTTGACTTGTAAAGAAAGTCTAATGAATGTAGCTTCTGCTCAGCTTGTTTCACTATTTAAAATGTTGAATCAAATTAATTTACATTTTAATATGTTCGTCAATATCGAGAAAAGTAAACAAATTCTATATACTTATTTTTAATTTACTTACATATCTTTGATTACTACTGTATGAAACTTTCAACAGCCTGACAGTAGGAATTTGTAAATTGTCTGCAAGTTGTATGTTGCTGCTAAACGCTGTGCAAGAACCTGAGACCTACCTATTCATGCAACATTTCTTATAAAATAGAAAAAAAAACATATACAACAGAGCAGTCAAAATTCATATAAAATTCAATAAAAATAGACAACTAAATGACCCTTCAACCCCCCCTCCCCAACAACAACAACAACAAAAAAACAACGAAAAGGCAAAGTACAATAACAAAACGCTGTACATAATAAACTGTTGACACAGAAATATGTCTGGCCTGTTGGCAGAAAATTCTAATTAAGACAATCTAATGGACAGCATCATTGCTAATCAGTTTAAAGTTGCTGGACAATTACCTAGGGGGCAGTGCTGGAAGTAGTTTTCCAACTGATATGTGCTGATAGAATTGCAACTTTATAGAATATATTATTGATCATCACAAGTAGTTCCTATCAAACTAACTTCAGCAGAAAACTTAACATTGAAAATTGCTTATTTTAAAATGGAAAGTCCCTGGACCATGACCTTGGGGGCAGGGCCTCAAAATAGTCATCAAATTGATGTGTACTGATAGTAATGCGACTTTATAGAAAACGTTATTGATCTATCACAAGTAGTTCCTATCTAGCTGACTTAAGCAGAAAACTTATCAATTATTGATGCATCCACCGTCAACCTGCCAAAAAAGAAAACTATGTCTTGCTTTCCAAGACTTTTGATGCAGACAAAAACTAGATATTTATTATACAATTCCCACCAAAATTGGGTGTGCAAATCTCAGGTGCAATAAAAGGGTCAGCAGTTCCTGCTCTAGCTAGCTAATAATAGCACCTGTCCTGTAAGTCATTGCAGGTAAAACTTGAAGGAAATAAGTCACATCCGTTTATGTTACAGTTGAGTTAAAAGGGAGAGAATTGTGGTTATGACTAGTGTAGCATACCATAGGTCATCTGTGACACACAAATTCCACATCAATCAACCAGATCATGATGGTGTAAAACTTTATAAAACAGAATTTACATTGAGATTTTCTGTAGGAATAATGAATTAAACTCCTTAAATCCCAATTTTATTAGACTTTTTGTGGGGTAAAATGGGAATCTTTTGAATAAAACTGAAGCTTCTAGCATAATGCTGAAAACATAAAGATATATATACCAAAAATTACATTTTTTCAATATGTTAAAACTTACGTAGAGAGAAAATCATTGCTGTGGGCATCAAAGTTTAGTCGGACAGGAATTTTATATAATACTTTATTTAGATATATATTTAAATAATTTGTCAGTAAAATGGCACTTGGTTACTGTGGATTCATTTATTTTCGTGGGTATCAATTTTCGTTGATAGGGAAAAAAAGACAGTTTCGTGGTATAGGTAAATTCGTGGATCGCTGTTTACAAAAAAAAAAAAAAAAAAAAAATCAGACACGTAATTCGTGGATTTCTTTTTGATTTAGGAGATCATATAACCTCCTTGGTTTGATCAATAATAAAACAAACAAAAAAGAAGGAATTGATTGAAAATGTTTTGAATTGTCAAAATCCTCACTTGGTCATTTTAGGTTAAAGTGTTCATTGAAAACTTCTATTACAATAATAGACAGAGACAACTAATTATTTGTTTGTTTTACAATTTATTAATTCTTGTCGGAATTTTATAAGGCATTCAAAACTCTATGATTGAAAGCTCATTTCCCTAATCACGATATAATAAACAGTCATATAAGTAAAAGGTTTGAAAATAAATGTTCCTGTCATAAACAATATTACCTATGGGCAATATCCCCGTACTTAATCCTATTGATTTTTAATCACCAGTAAATCAAACTATGACACGGTAATTAACAACTTGCAGTTATTTTCCAGGAACAGTTTTAATTAATTTTAAAAAGTAAATTATCACTGATATTCGATATATTTATTATTGATTTAATCAAAATACTTGTATCTTCTTTCAATAAAAACACATGTTATGTTACAATGTTTATCGTTAGTCAACACTATACTAGAACTGCAAAACATAACAGGAAATAAACATCCGACCATACACATTTCTCGGGATTATTCTTCGTTGAATTCTTAAATTCGTGGTTCGCTGTGACCCACAAAACCCACGAAAATTGGCTTACCTCGAATAAAAATGAATCCACAGTATGTTTATTTTATCAAATTAAATATTCAAAAAAATTGTCCCTGGCACACAGCCCGGCATACTTTTCAGTGATCATAACATAATAGTCATGTTTTACGTGGTTACATAAATGACATCACTTTTATTACATACACTAATAAATGAAGGAAATAACCCTGAAATAACAATAGCTTTTAATCATTACATTTATCAATATCACAGTCTTATTTAACTCTTATACTAGAACAATACCAATACTGGTGTTAATAACAGTTTTTTTAAAATGTGTATTATTATTGAGAATGCAGTGACCTTCATGAAGTGCAGTAAACTTACAATTATATTTCAAAATACAATTACTTGAATCTAATTTGTCATATCAAATAACATATCATAATCAACCAAGCATAATATAAACTAGTTGAATGTATAATAATCATGTTATATAATATTTATAAATGAAATATATAAAAAATATACTCGGTCAGTCAAGTTCAAATAGGAGTTATTGCTCTTAAATGAAGATTTTTACCATTTTGTTTGTGTTTGGGTAAAAACAATTAAAGACGGAAAGAAAATGTAAACAGTTAAAATGATCAGCAAGACTTGGTCAATAAAAAGGTTGACATCGCCAAAATTTTCAATCTAATTATAGAGCTCGAGGTTACTGCCCTATAATGGTGACTTTTACCCATTTTTGTGTTTTTGACAAAAACTTGAGTAGACAAGGAAAAACTGAAAGTAAACAAAATGGTTTGCATAACAAGATCATCAAAAAAGAGATTTTAAAAAGTCATGAATTTTATTCTAGTCTACAATGTTGAAGAATAACCATTGTTTAAGTGTGCATTGATCCAGGTGAGCGACACCATCTCTTTAGAACCTCAGTTTACGATAATTACTTGTAATTTTGACCAAACAATAAGCAACAAAAGTTTTTGCTAAAATTACAAAATCCTATATGTCTGTTTTTGCATAGACATGCAATCTGTTATTAGTCTATCTATTGACTTTATATGACAAATTATACCCCCACTTTAGAAAAGTGGGGGTAAACTGCTGTTTTACCTCTGTCTGTCTGTCAGTCCGTCCATCCGTCCCATAAATATTTTTCGTCGCATCTTTCTCAGGAACTACATTACAAGGATTTCTGAAATTTGGTTTCAGGGTTTATATGAGTCAGCTATACTGTGTGATGCGTTTTCAGATTCATCACTCAACAACTCCCTTTTTACCTTATACTTTTATTATTATATAGATATAGGAAGATGTGGTATGAGTGCCAATGAGACAACTTTCCATCCAAGTTACAATTTATAAAAGTAAACCATTATAGGTCAAGGTACGGCCTTCAACACGGAGCATTGGCTCACACCGAACAGTAAGCTATAAAGGGCCCCCAAAAATTACTAGTGTAAAACCATTCAAACAGAAAAACCAACGGTCTAATCTATATAAAAACGAGAAACGAGAAACACGTATGAACTACATAAACAGACGACAACTACTGTAATCAGATTCCTGACTTAGGACAGGTGCAAACATTTGCAGCGGGATTAAACGTTTTAATGGTACCAAACCTTCTCCCTTTTCTGAAACAATAGTATAACATCACAACATAGAAAAACACACTATAAAATATCAATTGGAAGGCTTAACTCAATCAAAAAACGTAAATTAACACACAATGAACGAATAAATTTGACCTGTGACACCTGAATGCAAATACACAGTTAATAAAAAATTACAAGGGATTAATAATTAAAGTAAAAAGTAAATAAACAGGTTTAAACAAAGTTAATGTATGATATGACTGAGAAATTTCAAACAATTTTTAGAAAATCATCACTTTTGAAGAAACCTGCGTCATATTATACACAGGTAAATGAAAATAATTTTGTTGTTAAGTATACTTCTTCTTCTGTGTGTCTAAAATCTTCCGTTTAGGAATACCAAGAAATTTCTTTAATATCAATAAAACTTATCTAACACTTGGTACATATGGGGTGAATATCAACAATAAAAATATACAATAAGTGCTAGATAAAACTTCCTGTACAGGTCCAAGAACAGCATCTAAGGAAAAATGAAATAATTTTGATGTTCATAGTACGAAGAAGTGAAAATTTGTAGTAAATTAAATACCAAATAATCAAAGCTGGTATATAGACAAGATCCATGTTAACATTAAATAACAAAAAAGCATTACAAATAGTATCAACAGGTCAATTTAAAAAGAAAGTACGATTTGAGAGTACTTGCAGTTACTGACAGCTAGTTAAAAGCCAAAACAATTAATAATAAAAAATCATGCATCAGAGACTGAAATCAACTAAAATACATCCCAGGGATTTAGTATTTTAACGTCATGAACAGTCAAAGAAGACATGACTTGTGCAATGCCAAAAATAAATGTATCGACAGGTAGTATACCCCTCTTTAAAAAAGGGGGGGTATACTGTTTTACCTCTGTCTGTCCGTCAGTCCAAGAAACAATTCTACTTCTAACCAATTATTTAAAATAAATCACACCCACTGACCGTGTATTTAAAATAAAACATGCTCATTGACCTAAATATACATGGTTCCCAAGTTTTTGTCTTTAACCTATGAAATTCTTAGAAGTGTTTAGGAGGTACAAAAAGACTATTATAGTGTTTATCGGTATGTCATACACCTCTCTTTACCTAGTTCTGGTATGTGCTTGACATTCCTAAACACTGTATTTCTTCTTTGAAGCACTTATGATATAGAACTGAGTCCTGATGTTGAAACATGTCATCCTTTGCACCTATTTTAGATATGCATTTTATAGTTAACGAAAATTTGGTATTATTACAACTCTGAAGTCTGATGTGACATTTTGTCCTCTGTAAGATAGCATCCTGTAAATAGATCTTCTATTGGCTATTCCACAAGAAAATTGAGCATTAACAAATGATTTTTTCAAAACATTTGTTCAAAACTGCAATACAGAACATTTCCTAACCAGCAAAGATGTGGGTATTAATATATTTTTTCAATTTAAGCAGTTTGCATAAAATAAATTTTAGTTGTTTTTGTAAAATACAGGTGCAGCTAGTACAAGTGAAGAAACAATGGGACAAATCATAATGGAGGCACTTGTAGAATTTGTATCAGAGGGCCAGAAAAATCTTCAGCATGTCTTTCTAGTTATATTCCAGGATAAAATGGTTAAACCTATGTTGAAAGGAGTTCGTTCTGGTGGACAGACTGCATCTACAGGTAAAAATTTAATTACTTGGATCATTAACATTATTTCTGTTGAATGAAACAGGATGTAGGTTAACTTTAAGATATAAAATAAAAATTTATGTCCATATATTCTATCCCATCTCTCTTTAAACTATCAAATTCCTTACTTGGCACAAGCACTTGAGGTATACTTTAGAGTTGTAATAGAATCTATTGCACACTAAACCATAACCTTAAATGACTGTTCATTCCAGGTTTATTAATGGGTCTTAAGCAAAAACCAAATACGCCAAACAATGTGACAAAGACAAATGACAAGAGAAGCTGTTCTTGAACATTTATTGTCATTTTCGTCTAGCTAAACCAGGACAGGTTATAAAGTCAGAGGCAAAGATTTGCTAATCTGTAATATTTATGACTTTTTTTTCTAGCTAAAATTAAGCTAGGACAGAAGATGATTTCAGATAGCAAGAAAAGCTTGTCTGTAATATTTACTATCTTTGTCTTCCAGCTAAACCAGGGCAGGTTATAAAAGCAGATAACAAGAGAAGCTGGTCTGTAACATTTGCAATCTATGGTATCTCTCAGAAAGATATAGATAATGCGAAGGAGGTATTAAAAAGTGCAGTTAAAGAAAAATTTCAAACAGAAAAAATACCTGATAGACTGATTTCAGAAATTAATGAACATGAAGTAAGTAGGTTTGAAAGTTGTTTTTTTAATATTCTTTACTGTAATTACTTGTCTGACTAGTCAGAGCAGGTAAACTATAAACTTAGATACATTGTACCTGAAATAAAAATGCTCAATATCCCAAATATATAACTTTAAACGGATAGTAGCTACGATTTTCATTAAAATTATTTTTCTAATCTATATGCCGGATTTTGTACATACGGTTTATTTAGAATGAATAAAACCATCACTGTTTACTTTCCAATCAGCATTTAGAAGCATTTTAACGTTTTACACCTGAATTTAATTTTTGTCTATAGACAAAAATTCGATGTTAAGCCAACCCTTATTCATATGACCTATGTTGACCTTAACTCCGCAGTTCCCAATGCGCAATCGCAAGTTGTCCCTCGAAGGGAAAATGTCGAACAGAGGAATGTTATCGTGGAAATGGAATTGTGTTTACAGTTTCTGCGAGAAAAAGAAACAGTAAAGAGGTGCAGACAAGTTATTGTAAATTGAAAATAAATAACGGCGATGAGAACGGTAATTTAGAATCATTTACAAACACCCGTCACGTAGAGAAAGTCATTATATAAGCAGTCGACATTACGACGGTTTGCGAAATGTAAAAAACATTTCTGAACTTTTCGAATCCAGATCACATGAAAATAAATCGCGACGTGTTCAAATCATTATTGTCCAAAATATCTTTATAAATTTAAGAGCAGTGATCTCACAACTTAGAAGACATTAAAAATCAGCTTCTTACAATTTAATATTATTCTTCCGGTGTACCCTGCTCGAAGGCCCCAATTCAATTCACAAACACGTGTATACGTTATCGGCATTGTTTCGTCATACAAATATAAAACAAGTGTATAATATCGCCGTTGTTGGAGAACCTTGGGTTCGAATAATATGCAGGCATTTGGTATATTTTGTTGTTTACATAATTTGATAAATGGTTTCAAATATGTACGTTTAATCTAGAGAAATTGTCAAATACGTAAGAAAACAAAAGCACGTGTTCATATTTATTTATAACTTGGTTATCTCACTCGCTTTGTCGGCAAAGTTCGGGAAGTAAACCCGATGCATAATTGATGAAATGAAAAGGCACGCTACACGATATTAATTATCAATTATTAACACTTCTGTACTTTATATAAACATTCCACCGATCTTATTGTTAATTTAAAGTACATATCTTTGATTTTAGCAGCTATAAAACTTGGTCATAATTTTGTCAAAATCGTAGCTACTATCCCTTTAACTCTGTCTTTCACCAACATTGTGATTGCCCTCTATGTTATTATTTCTGAAATGTTCATAAAAAGTTTGTAAATTGAATTACCTTAATTTGAAGATGCACTTATAAGAAGGACATTCGTCTCTGTTGTATGTTTACAGAGCTATGCCTCTTTGAAATTAATTTCTATGACCTTGTCCTTGGTTTTACAGTTTAATGAACCCTTTTAGACTGTCTTTGAGGATAGGCAGTTATGAGATTACACAAGTTAAGTAGTGTTTGTATGGACATCATGATTTTTGAGATTTTGATTCCATGTTGATTTTTTTTCTTTTGACAACTTTAAAAAAAAAATGGTTTTCAATGACAATGTTTACATGTAACTGTGTTGTCAGAGGCAATAACAAGTCAAGTAAATGCTCCATTCAATCCTTCTTTCTGTTGGTCAATTCATTTGTCATTCTTTCTATCCATCTGAAACTAATAGAGGTACCTATTTTGTTAATGTGGTACTTTCTTACATGTCTTAACTACCAAGGGAAATACCATATTCTTGTATGTTGATTCATTGCATCTAATATAAAAAAGAAGATGTGGTATGATTGCCAATGAGACAACACTCCACAAGAGACCAAATGACACAGAAATTAACATTATTTGACAATTGACAAATTATATTTTAGAATATTTCAATCTTTGTGGTGCTGAAGGCTGCTCCTCAAACGGTACCGGGTTAGTCCAGACACATTATTGGTCTTATTGATATTCAGCATTCATTTTTCAGACCCACTGACCTATCTATTTTTTCAAATACACATTTTGCATTTGTATAATTTTATGATCTTATGATTTTTATGCCCCCGTTGTAGCGGAGGGGGCATTAAGTTTTACCCTTGTCCGTCAGTACGTCCCAAAGTTGGTTTCCGTTCTCTAACTTTAGTTTGCCTTGACCAAATGTTATGAAACTAATACACAATGCTTATTACCACAAAACACAGATCAAGTTTGAATTTTGGTGGCGTCACTTAAACCGTTGTAGAATAATGCCCCTTTACAAATGGAAAAATTGCTGAATTTTTCATTTCCATTCTCTAACTTTAGTTTGCCTCAACCAAATGTTATGAAACTTATACAAAATGCTTATTTCCACAAAATACAGATCAAGGTTGAATTTTGGTGGTGTCACTTTTACTGTTCTAGAGTTGTGCCTGTTTACAAATCGAAAAATTGCTGAATTTTTCGTTTCTGTTCTCTAACTTTTAGCCTCAACCAAATGTAATGAGACTTATACACAATACTTATTACCACAAAACTCAGATCAAGTACAAATGTGGGTAGCGTCACTTTTACCGTTCTTTAGTTATAAATACTCAACTACTGGGTTGATGCTACATCTGTTGGACCAGGGGTTATCATTGGCCCAATAGATAATCAGCATGTCTGTGAAGGTATTATTATCCTATTGGCCAGTTCATATTTATACTAACTTGATATTATTATTTTGTATTTATACTTGAGAAATTTTTATACAATATAACAATGTGAAATTTAAAGGTATTCTTTTCAATGCATTTTATAAATGTGGTTTTGATGTGAGTTATAACAAAGCATCAGTTAATCACTCATCAATTATTGGAACTTATGTATAGCCAATATTGGTTGTAAACACTAATGAGAAATTAGTTTTAATAAAAATGTGCAAATGGTACATTTAATTGTTACTGTACTCTTTTTTTTAGCTCACCTGGTCCGAAGGGCCAAGTGAGCTTTTCTCATCACTTGGCGTCCGTCGTCCGGCGTCATCCGTCGTCGTCGTTAACTTTTTACATTTTGAACTTCTTCTAGAGAACCACTGAATGGAATGAAACCAAACATGGCATGAATGTTCCTTATGAGGTGCTGACCAAGTGTTGTTACTTTGTAGCGGATCCATCATCCAAGATGGCTGCCAGCGGGGGACTTAGTTTAACATGGGACCCTATGGGAAATACTTGGTCAGCACCTCATAAGGACGCCAATGGGGGGACTTCCTTTAACATAAGACCCTATTGGAAATACATACAAATGCTTCTTCTAGAGGTGCACTGAATGGAATGAAACCAAAACATGGCATAAATGTTTCTTATGAGGTGCTGATTAAGTGTTGCTACTTTGTTGCCGATTTACTGTTCAAGATGGCCACCAGGATTTTTTATTAAATAACCGGACCATTATTAAACCAAATTTGGCCTCACTCATTATTAGGGTATCTGTTATGATTTTAATCTATTTTTACATGATTTCCAAAACCAAAGTAGAATCAGGTGAGCAACACAGGCTTTTGAGAGCCTCTAGTTTGTGCCCCAGTTGTAGCGGAGGGGACATTAAGTTTTACCCTTGTCCGTCTGTACGTACGTACGTCCCAAAATTGGTTTCCTTTCTCTAACTTTAGTTTGCCTCAACCAAAGGTTATGAAACTTATACACAATGCTTATTACCACAAAACACAGATCAAGTTTGAATTTTAGTGGCGTCACTTGTACCATTCTAGAGTTATGCCCCTTTACAAATGGAAAATTGCTGAATTTATCGTTTCCGTTCTCTAACTTTAGTTTGTCTCAACCAAATGTTATGAAACCTATACACAATGCTTATTACCACAAAACACAGATCAAGTTCAAATTTGGGTAGCGTCACTTTTACCGTTCTTCAGTTATGCCCCTTTATAACTATATGATATGCAAGCCTGGGCATTATCTGTGTCCACATGTGGACACTATCCACATTTATTTTACAAAAAACTAAGCTCTGTTCAGATCCTTTGATATTCTGTATAATATATATGTTTTATCTAGAAATATTTAATTGATTTATAAATTAATTATCTCACTAGAAACAAAATGAAACTATATCTGAGCTACAATTTCATTTTTGTCTCACCTTGACATAGGTATGCTGTTTTCGGCGAATACAGGCTCATCAACAATGTATTAGTTTGTGATTAGGTCAGTTTATAGGGAACCACTAGTGAGAGGTTAATGATATTCAGTATGCAGTTGTATTTATAGCATTAGGACATCTCATTTCCATAGAGATTATTTTTGCCCAAACCCTCAGTCATGGTCTATTGACTTTGAATATTGAGCATTGGCACATCTCATTTCCTTGGAGATTGTTTGGCCCTATACCTTCAGTGATGGTTCATTGACTGAATATTTTGCATAAATTACATGTTAAAGTGCTGCTTTTTTATGCCCACGCCCAGTGGAGGGGGCATTGAGTTTTACTATTGTCTGTCTGTAAGTCCATCCATCAGGATCAAGTAGTTTTAATTTTACCTTTCTAGAGTTATGCCCCTTTACAAATAGAAAAATTACTGAATTTTTCGTTTCCATTCTCTAACTTAAGTTTGCCTCAACCAAATGTAATGAATCTTATACATAATGCTTATAACCTCAAGACACAGATCATGTTTGAATTTTGGTGGCGCCACTTTTACCGTTGTAGATAAATGTCCCTTTACAAATGGTAAAATTCCTGAATAATGCTTATTACCACAATACTTAGATCAAGTACGAATTTGAGTTGCTAAACATTTACTGTTCTTGAGTTATGTCCCCTTATAATGTTATATGCAAGCGGGGGTATCATTTGTGTCCAATGGACACATTCCCCATTTATTGATTTCAACATTTGCATTTTTATAAAAATCACAAAAAGGTGAGACATATCTCTGTGTTAACAGTTCATTCTTAATATTTCAGGTCTTAGTATAAAGCAGGGACTTATTTTGTTAATGATTTTATAACCTTTCAAACATGATACTATGAAAGTATAGTTAACCAGTGTCATATGATGTTTTGACACACATTAAATTTTTTTACCCCTTGTTCAATTTTCCATATAAAATAAAAGAACCTGGTAATCAAATTCCCCATAACAGAACTTCATGATATTTAACTGAGTTTATTACCAGTTGTTAACATGATGTGATAACAATCACATTTAATCAGTGAAATTTCTTTTGTTGCACATATTGTTTTGTGAATCCTATAATTTCCTCTAGTTGCAGCAGTACAAATTCATATATTATAATGTTTATATCTCATTTGTTTTTAACTTGGCTAAATCAGAAAAGGAATACACATGAAATAACAATCCCATGAAATAGAAAGAACAGTGCTTTAAATTGAATGTCTCAAATATTTAAAGAATGAACAAAAAGTCAGACAGGTTTAATTGAGGCTTTCTTTTTTTTTAGATAGCCTATCTGAAATCTATAGAAAGTAATCTTCCTGTTCAGATGACAATAGACCAAGTGAACTCTACCGTCACACTTTATGGAATTCTAGATGATGTGATGAATGCCAAACAGGAGGTCTTTGATGCTCTGAGAAAGTTTGCTCACACCAGACATTGTAAAGCTGAGGCTGCAATTATTAAGGAACAAGTTCAATGGTACTTTAAGGTAAATTAGAAAAAAAAGAATCTGAATATGTTGCAAATTATTAGGGGAAAATGGCATTCAAGCAAAAATTTTGCGGCCCTATAATGTTATGGCATGTCCGAAGACATTTGGTTTCTAGACAATAACTTGATTAGAAGTGTCTTGTTCTCTATGAAATTGTACCACAAGGTTCCATACCACAAACAGAAGGTTGGAATTGATTTTGGGTGTGATTGTTATTACTGTTTCTGAATTAGTAATAACAAGCATGTTTCTTGTTTCAGGACAATTACTTGTGTATTAGTGTATGGATATCTCAAAAGGAATGTTGTGATTGATATTGGGGTTATGGCTAAAACTGTTAATGAATTAAGGGCCCAAAAAAAGGATTTTCTGATTTCCAGACAACAACTTGAGTATAATCCAATGAATCTCTATAAAATTGTACCACAAGGTTCCGTACCAAAAAAGGAAGGTTGGGATTGAGTTTGGGGGTTATGGGTCTAACCAATAAGGAATTAGGGGCCAAAAAGTGGCCAAAAACAATACTTTTCTAATAATTTGTATATATATTGCTTATTTCTTGACCAATTTCAATAGTGTTTAATTCAAAGTCTTAATTTCTTTGGGTTCTTCAATATGCTGCATCTAATTGTGTATTTAGATTTTGGATTTGGTCCCCATTTTTAAATGGGTCCACATTGAGGTTTCTAAACTATCCTTATTTTGATTTCATCAGAAATTGAATTGTTGGGGTTCTTTGATATGTGAATCTAACCGTGTATTTTTATTTTTAATTTTGGGCCCAGCTTTCAAATTGGTCCACATTACATCCAAAAGATCAAACATTAAGTTTTTGTATTATTTCAACAAAAAATTGAATTCTTTGTGCTCTTTGATATGCTAAATCTAAACATATTCATATTTTAGATTGTAGACCCAGTTTACAAGTTGGTCCAAATTATTGTCCAAAATTAAACTTTTTGTTTGATTTCATCAAAAATAGAATTTTTGGGGTTCTTTGATATGCTGATTCATGTATTTAGATTTTTGATTTTGGATCATAAAAGGTAAATGTCCCATTTCAAATTTTTAAGTTCTTAGCTATAGACCACATTCATTTTGTGTCAGAAAACTATGCTGTCTCAAATATTTAATCACAATCCAAATTCAGAACTGTATCAAGCTTGAATGTTGTGTCCATACTTGCCCCAACTGTTCATGGTTTGACCACTGCAGTCATATCAAGTTGTGCCCTTTGGAGCATTTTATTTGTATTTGTTAAAATATTCACATATGTGTAGAAACAACTAACAGAGACTCTTCAAGTAAATGTAAAAAGTAAATTTTTGATAGCATTTTTCTTTCTGATAGTGTCCAGCCCTGTTTATCATCAATCTGTTATCATGCAGAAATGCTTCATGTATGAATGTCCCTTTATATTTAGCTACAAAATTAAAGAAACTCCAGAAATAAGGAAAACTGTTTAAAATAACTAAATTCAAAAAGCAAATAGCAAAAATTGAGGTGTATATTAATGAAATCTTTCCGTGTCTTCTTTATGGAATAACTTAACATTCTCTAAAACTAACAACCTCAAGAAAAAGTTAATTTCAAAAGGATATTCAAATTACTTGTTGGAGCAATAGGATGTTATGGATGTCCCAAGTCAGGAGCCTGTAATTCAGTGGTAGTTGTTTTTGCTGTATATCATATTTGTTTTTCTTTTTTTATCAAATCTAAATGGGGGATTTTAAGGAAAAGAGGACCTAATGCATACCTGAATGTGTCATTAGTGTACTTAATTAGAACATGTATGGTTTAAATTTGAAAGAGTATACATGTGTTAAAATGTATTTTTTCTCCTCTGAATGCCTTTTTTAAAAGTATTAAAATTTAATAATGGAGTTTTATAAGGGTCAGGTCAACACCAGTCCTCTTATGGGGAGTATCCCCCATAAAGCTGGAAAGTTGGTAGGTCTGCTATTTATATATAAATAAGTCTGTTATTTTCTTTATTAGAATTGTTGTACACTTGTCATGTCCAGGCCTTTTATAAGTTGCTATGCTGAATGGGTTTTGCTAATTGTTAAAGGCCTTACAGTGACCTTTAGTTGTTAATATCTAAGTCATTTGGTTGGGTGGAAATGTGTCTCATTGGCAATCATGCTGCATCTTCATATTTTTATAAGCATTTATATGCTTACAGAAATCTGAGGCGTAGCCTTGTACAGAACTTTGCAAATTAACACTGTAGACATAGTAAACACTGTTTGGTCTTTGTAGTGATGTCTTCTTTAAATTTGGTTACATTTGCAATGGATTGACATTAGGGTGGTAATCTCTAGTGACGTAACATTTTCAAGACATCAAAATCTCGCTTGAAATCAAAAGAAAACTCTTCTAATGGTAAACCGAAGTTTGACCAAAATTAACATTGCTTGAATTCACTTAATCTGTTCAATAAATCAATGAGTTGAGGAAAAAATGCAGAATGCTCCAGAACAGTTATTCAAGCTGTAATATTGCACATAATGTTTTTCTAGAGTGGGTTCATGTGAATTCATTTTAGAAACTTCTTGACAGCTTCCTGTAACAATCATTTTTAATGCTCAGTATGTATTTTTTGTTTTAGGATCTTAGTGACAAAGGACTCCCAGTACTTACTCCATATCCTGATGAGATAAACATGTATCTGGAAACTGGTTACAAAGGAGAGTCTGGACGGAAAGAAGTGGAATTCAAGGATGATCAGGGAGAGGAATATGTTATTGTTTTGAAAGATATGATGGAATATGTTAAAAATGATAGGTCTAATAAAGTGGAAGTTTTGAGAAGAGAAAAAATACAAGGTAGATTTTGATTGAGATCTTTATCATTAAGCATCAATTCTTTGGCAGTTGTTTTATGTTATGGGTATTTCCTTATTGTTTATGCCCTTCGATAGACACATTTTTTGAAAATGGCCCATTTACATTTAACATTTTTTTGTATTTGTAACAGATTTTTGTCCTGCCTAAGATGGGGGGGGGGGTCTGACGGGGTCCAATCCCGAAATCCAGAGTTTATGTTTGCCTAATCCTGATTTCCCAGGCCTTATTTGACAATATCCGAAAATCCTGATAAAATAACATATACGCTTTTTTGGCAAAATACATTAATTAATGATTGTATACTGTTCAAAGCAATCAGTCAGTCTGTTGTGCAGATTCCCTGTATTGTATTAATATAATCTTGTGAGCTTAGTTTAAAATAGAATATGCATACATGGAGACTGCGACATTCCAAAACTTAAAAGACACATAAATAAGTTGGCTAGTTTGACCTCAATAAAAGAAGGTAAGAGATTTTCGTCAGTTACTTGGAGTATGATAGTATATTGTATATGTTATCACTCTTCTTTACTGTGCACCTTTTTTTTTGTGAGTCTGTAGTAGTGTCAAGTAGTTGTGTGTATACATTGAATTCAATGTTGTTTTTTCAGGTAATTCTTTATTTGTGTCTTGCCATTTGATTTTGTCGGACATTTTTTGATGAACAAAATTATCTTCGGAGAAATCCACAAAGACCTAAAACCATAGAACAAACAATGTGCAAATATATCCTAGAAGTATTAAAAAAAACATAAACAAATAAATGCAGGTACAAAAGGAACAATCACAAACACTACACAGAACACTAAAAAACATGCACAAACTCCTACAAAAACCAGAAGTAATCCCAGGTGCTCTGGAAGGGTAAAATAATGCTGTTTTTGTATTCTAACAAGAGACCCGATAGATAAAAATTCCGAATTCCTGGACGTAAATACACGTAAATCCTGTGTCTCGATTAAACTAAATCCCGAAATCCTGAACTTTAAAATGGTCAATCCCAGAGTCCTGATAAAGGTCCAACCCCCCTCTAAGATGTCTATCCATCAGAATTTTATTGTGTGATTTTTATTTTCAGGAGATGGAGGGACATTTGAGCCTCCAGTTAATTGGGATGATCAGGGATCAGAAAATGTGAAGCTAGTTACATTACTGCCAACGTCAGCAGAATATACTACTTTAGAACAAAAGTTTATTCAGTCTGTATTTAGTGGGAGACCAGAATGGGCAAACCAGTTTAATAAACAGACACTTAAAGTAACAAAGGTATTTATACTATATTTGAATTATCAGTGATATACATAAGTCTTTTACTTACAATTTACCTTTAAATTACATTTGACTTCATTCCTATGTTAAACAAGTAACTTAAAAATTTGTTATTTGATTATGCTTAGATCTCCTATACAAGGATTTAAGAGATAACTGTATTGTATTTGAAGCTTGGCCTACATAAAATGTGTGTTTTACTGTCCCAAGTTGAGTTTACCTAGGGACGTGCAGCAGAGCTTGTAAACGGATATCATTAAAACCAAGCTTCAAGTATGGTTATCTCTATTCTAATGCAACATAAACAAATCACTCCATTTCAGTCATTATTTCGGTGTAGAATTTCATAAAAACTAAATTCTGTAAAATAATGATATTTTCTTTACAACCATACAAGGTGACATTATATATATGCTTATGTCGTCAAATGCTAACTTATGGCGTTTTTAGGCTTCTTGTATGCCTCAGAATGTAATAAAATCACATAAAAAGAACATTTGTAGGTGAAGGATGTGAGTTTTTATATTTTTTATTGAAGAAATAACATGTCAATACATCAAGAATTCAAAATATTGGCTTCTCTTAACCACGGGCAGGTACAAAAAGGATTTTACAATTGTTGTCATCCAATCAGAACCATTGAAACAACATGATTGCATTAGAATATGTTTATATTCAGCAAAATGTGTCAAATAGGATCTCTCATATAGATGATAAAATGATGACATAAGTATATTATTCAGAACTTGTATTCACAGTGATGACAGGTGAAGTTACATTTTAAGGAAATTCATTTGCATGGAGATTATAAACAGCCTTTGCTTTTTTTTTTTTTTTTGTTGTCTTTTTTAACATTTATCATTTGAAACCTACAGATTGAGAGAATTCAGAATTTAAGTTTATACCACATGTATGCAGCTAAGAAGGCTTTGATAGAAAAACAAAACCCACAAGGACATAAAAATGAACAAGAATTATGGCATGGTACACCAGATAAAGCTATACTTAGTATCAATATGTATGGATTCAACAGGAGTTATTGCTCAGACAATAGCAGTAAGTAGAACAAATCTTTGGTTATCTGTGACACAGAATATCCATAATTATTACATTGGTTGCAAAGATATACAGTGCTTAACCAGAAAAATAAAAATTTTCAAATAGATGACTTTATCATGAGAACCCTTGTTTCAATAGTTTCCTTAAGCTTGTAAGCAGCAGTAATCTATCAGGGAATTTTTTTTATAGAAAATGCAATTTAAGTTTTGGAATGATGTATCAAATAAGAGAGATATACTCCATGTTCAGGTGCAATTAAATGTTGCTAATTGGAGTCATCTTGTTTTTCCTAAATTCTAGTTACTTTCAAATTCTGTGTGTTATTTGCGATATGCAGCTCATTGCAGCAGACTTAACTGTATTTGTGGTATTCTTAATTTTAAGCTTAATGAGATAGATTTAATCAGTGCAGTTGCAAAACTTTGACATTTTCAGTGTGAGAACATCATCAATATAGTGGAAAACAAAATAATAGGGTTATTCTAGCTTTATTTCATTCTTCTTAAGAAGCTCCTGTTATGGAAATAAGCCTTATGCAGCACGGATAACATGTTATTAAACCCCATGCAACGAGTTGCGGAGGGTATAATGTTTTTGACCCGTCCATCTGTCCGTCCGTCCGTCCGTCTGTCCGTCTGTCAGTCCGTCATTCCTGTTTCTTGTCATCGCAACTCCTCTCAAACCACACAACAGAATTTCATGAAACCTTTTTAGATAATAAGGACATACTATGTAGTTGTGCATATCGACAGGAAATTACGATTCAATTTTTTTTCTAGGAGTTACGCTCCTTTGAACTTATTTACTTTAATGTACTACTGCAACAGTTTGTCATCTCAACTCCTCTGAAACCACACAACAAAATTTCATGAAACTTTGAAGATAATAAGGAAATACTACGTAGATGTGCATATCGACAGAAAATTACGATTCAATTTTTTTTCCAGGAGTTACACCCCTTTGAACTTATTTGCCCAATATACTACTGCAACCTTTTGATATCGCAATTCCTCTCAAACCACACAACAGAATTTCATGAAACCTTTTCAGATAATAAGGACATACTATGTAGATGTGCATATCGACAGGAAATTACGATTCAATTTTTTTTTCAAAGAGTTACGCCCCTTTGAACTTATTTGCTTCAATATACCTCTGCAACAGTTTGTCATCGCAACTCCTCTCAAACCACACAACAGAATTTCATGAAACTTTGTAGATAATAAGGACATACTTTGTAGATGTGCATATCGACAGGAAATTATGATTCAATTTTTTTTCTAGGAGTTACGCCCCTTTGAACTTATTTGCTTCAATATACCTCTGCAACAGTTTGTCATCACATCTCCTCTGAAACCACACAACAGAATTTCATGAAACTTTGTAGATAATAAGGACATACTATGTAGATGTGCATATCGACAGGAAATTATGATTTAATTTTTTTTTCTTACAGTTATTTTATTTCTCCAGTGACAATGTGGGGACGTGGGTATGTGAGCGCGCTCACTAAGGTTCTTTTTGAGATGCAAACAACATGTCATAAAAAAAAAAAAAAAATACCACCCAATTTCATATATATTTGTCTTAACAGAATACTTTTTTTTATATAGAGGATGCATATTGGGGTGATGGAGTATATTTTTCAGCAGATGCCTCATATTCAGCTAGAAACTGGCTGGCAACAGGTACTGGAACTGGTGACCACAACATTTACCTTTGTAACGTGTTAACAGGTGTATCTGTTAAAGGAAAAAAAGGAATGCGTGTACTTCCTGTAAGACAAGATGGAACTATGTTAAACTATGATTCTGCAACAGATGCTAAATATAACCCAGTTGTTGAATATGTCATATTTAATGACACACAAGCTTACCCACAGTACTGCATTAAATTTAAGTATTAGTTTACAATATTATAGACATAAATACAGAAATAGTGCTAATAATAATTAATGTACATATATGTGTAATTTTCTCAATATTTAATAACATTATTTACCAATTAGTTTTCAAAAAAACATGATTTGTAAGTACTATATTCATAAAATTACATAGGAAGGTCTGATATATCTGTTCAAAGTATTACTTGTTTGATACCCCTGCTTTCTGATGGTTGTAATGGGGAGTCCTTTCATCTGTCAGCTTTCCCGTCAGTTTGTTAGTCCTTCGATACCAATTTGTTTTCTGCACTTGTCCTGAACTTCTCGATAAAGTTTTGTAATACTTTCTCCAAATCTTGTTTCATTTTGTCATCCCAGTGATTTTTGCGCTAACTTATGCATAAGTCCACATGAAATATACTTTGTCATATCTGCATACTACAGAACAAATTTGTTTTCTCTTATCCTCATTAATTCAAAATTAAGAGTTTGATGAAACATCATCAGAATCTTCAACAAATAATGCCATTGTGCACATAATTTGTTTTGCTACAAAGTTTTTGTGGTTCCCTTAGCAAATAATAGACTTTTCAATTTTTTTTATCTAGCGGGTATCTATTTTGTATCCATAAGTACTCTTAAACAACTTGATAGAATTTGTTGAAATTTTCTCAGAATCTTAACTATATTATGTCTTTCTGCACCTTTTATTTTATTTTTTGGAACATGGTCCTTGCCTTTGTAGTTTTTGAGGAGATCACACACATAATTGGACATTCACTATTTAGAAGAGTTATTCCTCGAGAGTAATTCAATCCATTCAGGATGTCGATCTTCAAAAATCATTAGAGTTTTAATATTAGCAATTAAAAGTGATTAAAACAAACAGTTCAGAAACCAAAAAAAAAATTGAATAATGTTTGACGTTAACCAAAGATATTTTGTCTTTCTTTTATTTTTATTTATATTCACCAAGTCAACCTTGCAGTGTACATAAATATCATTCATATTCCACCCTCTATTTTACAATCTATTCATAAATAACCTTGATGCCACAAATGATGAAGGTGAACTTTATGATTTTATTAAAGTTTTATAGTCATATATATCTTTGTGTTGTTTGAATATTTGCTTAGTAGAAAAGAGTTATTGTGATTTTCAAAAAAAATCTTTGAATTATAGTTTGATAATGATTTTTTTTTCATATATCTGTGATAACTGCTGTAAATATATATATATGTGTATTTGTTTGATAGAGAAAAGGAGCATATTAATTGATCGACATATTTCATTTTATATTAACTTGCAACAATATGGTTTATTAAAAGGTATTTTTATACAACTATTGCCTTCAAGTGTTGTATGTGCCATTGTCATCAGTTTCTGACCAAACAATATCTGTGCTGCAACTAATGTTTCATGTAAGCATTCCAAAAAAAAATCCTGAAAAATGGACTAGTTTATGTACTGATTTTGGAGATTGATAAAAAAATTAATAAAAAGGGCCAATAAAGCCAAAAATGGATTGTATTGGCACACCTACAATAGTAGGAGGGATTATGTTTTGAGGTTTGTGCCTTTGTCCCTATCAGATTAAATTTTGTATGAAAGGGTCATTTAAGGTGTTGAATTCATGGTCACCAATTTGACCCAAATTCTTATATTTTAAATTTATTAAATATTAAGTTCTTACTATACAAATCCTTGATTTAAATAAGCAATCAAGCATGTGAAATCATTGCATGAATACAGATTCAAATGAGTTGAATGATTGATTCACAAGCCATTAATACATCAGCAATGTTGTTTAGCTTATTTTAACAAAATTGAACCAAGCTGACTGCTAATAGCAAAATATTATTTCAATATTATGCTTTTATAAATGTTTGAAACAGAAAAAATAGTTTTTTTTATTTTTTGTCTAATTTTGTTGTTAAAACTGAAATTGTGGTCTCATCTACTTCAAACTTTTTAAACATGTTCATCTTGTGGAGAATATTTTGTCTCACCTGCACCCAAAGTTGCAAAGGTGAGGTAGCTGAGGTTCGATTCCCCTAATTACATGTTTGCCTTGGTATATTTGCCCTGGGTTTGTTCGCCCTATTTTTGTAAGAATCAATATATTTATATTAATGGTATTAGGGTTTAATACCAGGGTAAATCTATCCTGAAATTTATTGGTTAAATATTTAAAGAAAATATATATTTCTCATAATTCATGAAAAAACATGGAAATATTTTAAAAGCAAGGAATTATTTTAATCTGGAATAATTTTGAATACTGGAAACTTGTTATGAAATGTATGATGAAAACTAACCTAATTAAGGAGAGTGAGACATGCATGCATGGCTAAGGGGGGTTTGTTAGTTCATACTGAAATATTGTGAAAGTAAAATAAACCTTAGCCATGCACGCATGGCTAACCCTATTTAGTTCGGTCAGATTTCATAAAAAAATTCCAATTGATTTTTACAGAATTCAAAATTATTCCAGATTCAAATAATTCCTTGTTTAAAATGAATGGCTTGTTATGGAGCATTAGTTGGCTTAGTTGTTACATTTGTTTTTATTTAGAATTTCTGTTAATGAATGTTGATTGTAATGTTGATTGTAATTAAGAATACTTATATATATATATATGTTGTCTTTTATCTCACTGATTGTTGTTTTATCGTCTTTTGTTGTTTGATAATGAAAATAATTTTTGTATTAAATAACTACCGCCAGCAGTCAGCTTGGAATGAGTAAAAATAATGAATGTCCAAATATTATGAATGTTTTTGTGCTGTTTTGTTTTGTAAATCAGGGTGAAGAAATGTAGAGTGGATGGCTGTGAGATTATTTTATCTTTTAAAGAGTATTTCAATTCAGTGCTCTTGAAAATAATAGTGTTATGACAAAACTGGTGTGATGTGAAGTTCAAGCTGGATTTTGTTATAATTCTTTATGATTCTTTGGAAATTATTAAAATGTATCAATAAAGATAAATAAATACAGATAAATTGGTCTTCAGTTGTTTTATATTTAATACATTGTGTTCCTGTACACTTCAGTGTGAATCAAAGGAAATTAAATATCTGGTAGCAGCAATATAACATAAATATTCGGTGAAATATTCGGTGAAATTTCAACAAACTTTAACATACTCTATTCAGATACATGTAATATACATTATAAAACAAGATTCTATTCAGATAATATACATTATACAACAAGACAACAAAAATAAAAAAATAAGAAAACATACATGTTCACGAGAAAACATGATTTCAGATGCTCTGGAAGGGTAAGCAGATCCTGCTCCACGTGTGGTTCTTGTCGTGTTTCTCATGTTAATACAAACCCGGTAATAAGTCTTAAAGCCATATGAAACTTCAAATTAAAAAAAATTGATGCATATGTTTTTATGCCCCCGCCGTAGCGAAAATCAAAATAAACTATATCTTATTGTACATGTAATACTCGTGCTTACCTCAATATCCCTGCTTCTTTGATGATTGTTTACTAAGGTGACAATCAGTAATCTTCGGCTTCAAAACACGACAATTAATTAGCTGCCATATTTTTACATCAAAACAGACCCAAGTGAGAAAAAAAATTTTGACAATTGTACGATATGGATGCGTAAAAAATGATAAAATCGTGCACAGAAGACTTAGTTTATGATATATACATGCATTGGTTCAAGAACTGGATTAACATTATTTTTCACCATGACTTTAATATGTTAGGTAACATTTGAGAAGAAGAGGACAGGATTGTTGTTACGACAAATGGAACATATCTGTCTGCATCTGTGAAACTGGTATTCTATAACAGTCAACTAACTTGTCAAATTTTCAAAAGACTGATTTCAACTTTCTCCACTTGGAACTCTAACCCTAACAATTCAGTCCCTCCCTGTGATCCACTCTTCCACTCACATTTATGAAGCCATTGTAGAACATCTAAATATACCAATTGAATTGTTCAGGTTAATAAGAAGTTAGATATCTTAGTTTACTAGCTTTCTTGTAGGCGTCAACCCTCTATCCAGGAAATCATGATAGGAAATGCATGCTCTGAAATATCCTATAAACTGAGAGATATATACTTCATATGCAATTATTGCCGGAATGTTGCTACATAGAAATGGAAAGTTCACAATTGGAAGCTGAAATCATTTCATTGTCATAAAGTTTTGTTCTCAACCGACCCCAGTGACAATTCCTGAATGTAAGTCAAAATTTGAGACAGACTTAACTATCTGTTGTATCCTTTATTTTAAGTTCGATGGGAAAGATGCCTTTGACATAGTAAGGATACTTGTGCAATTTAGGTATCCAATACAGTGAAGGAAGATCCAGTTCTCAATATTTGGTTGAAATTCCAAAGGAATATAGAACAGACCAGTTTATGTTATGTGATCTACACACACGCGATGTTACTTGGGGTTTTATCTGCTGGGACAACACCTTTTTATCAGGGAGGTAGGACAGGTGTTTAGCAATATTTAGGTCTTTAAAGACTAGACGTAGAATAAGTATTCACAGACACATTTAGTCTTTTTGTAATTATAATTTGTAGCAAAGACCTCACAGTCTTAAAACATTCGAAAAGAGTATCTGCATCTTCTTTTTCGCATTTGGTCCATAGCCTGGCAGAATCTTTGAATAAATTCATAATTATTTGAGGTTTTGTTTCCAAAGAAAAGGAGTAGTGAATAAAGCATCGTACGAATGTCATGAATACCAAACGATTTTTATACAAATGGCAAAACGTCAATAATAGAGACATCGTGGAGAGTATGGAGAGTAGGTGATTTTCATCCATTTATACCATCATTCTACTCTACTATTCTAATGATAGTGCAGTGCAAGTGCATGGTGGACACTCTTCTGTAATAATTCGTTTTTCAAATAGGTTAGATCTGGGACTATTCACAGGTTTGATTTGAGTAGGCATTCACATTTCTCCCGCTGTTGTTGCAAAACGTCCTAGAGATATTTTTCGGCGTGCGTAACACAAATTTACGGTATTCATGATTTGTTACTGACATATATATATTTCTCACGACAAAACGTTTTCATATTATTTATTTATGTTCTTAAAGAATATTTTCATGGGTATTCATTGAAGAAATGAATTTATAACAGGCGATAAGGTATGTTATTTTGCAAACGATAATATCCGCGTATTTATACGAAATACATTCGGCGCAAGGGACGTGTGCCGAAATTTCTGCGGCAACATAACACCGGTACATGTATGACCTCTCAAGGTCACATTCGATGTAAAAATCATTCAGTTAACGCACACCTCTAAAAATAACTGAAGTTAACTCACTAGAAGATCAAAGGAAAAAATTACATTCATGTTACAAAACAAATCAGTGCACCCACTGAAATCAAACTTTTAAAAGAATTTGCATCAATATTGAGAAATTCTCAATCGTTTGTCAAAGAGAAGCGAAAGATACCAGAGGGACATTCAAACTCATAAGTCGAAAATAAACTGACAACGCCATGACTAAAAAAGAAAAAAAAAGACCAATAGTCAAACAATAATACACAAAACACAACAAAGAAAACTAAAGACGGAGCAACACGAACTCCACCAAAAACTGGGGGTTATCTCAAGTGCTCCGGAATGGTAAGGAGATCCTGCTCCACATATGGCAAATAAAGAATAAATACTTTGTAGCAAAATAATGAAATTGAAAATAACTCTAAGCCGCCCTACAACCATTCATCTTAAGTGTCATAATTTTTATGAAAAAGCAACACAAAATCTTATGAGGACCTAGACAAAAAGTATACTTCTATAATTTAATCATCGGTACAGGGACATAATTCGTAAACATAAATCAACATGCAGACGTCTTATACGTTCAGGTATTTCACATCCAATATTTTATGGTAATCCAATGACTCGTTCTTTACAAAGCACAAAAATGTCGGCATTCACCTCAAAAGCTAACCAAACCTTTAAACGGAATTATTAAGAAGGGATATAGTTACGATACTGTTGTCAGGCCATTAAAGATGGCATATTTTGGTATTAATATTGATTCACTCATAGGGTTTTTGCATCGGAAATAAACACATTTATTCTAAAACCAGTTGTTGGCATGATACGGGTTATGTTCTTCTCATATATTTTATGATGGTATGATACTAAACCCCTAATGGGAGGGATTGTACTTGATTTTCACTGATACCACGGATATTTGGTCTCCTTTGAAGAGTTGTCTCATTTGCAATCATACTACATCTTCTTTTTTATATTTTTTCTATTGAAATACCTATCCCTTATTATTGGTTAGTAAATATTTGCAACTACTAAAACTGTTTGACATTTCTAACATTGCATATTGAAGATTAAAACACCTGGATTTTGTATTTGTTTGACGTGACAGTTTCTTAGAAATGCAGAGAGCTTATTCACGAAGCATCCGTTAACTAAGTGTCGGGTGTTTTCATTGGTTTATAAAGCAAATGGGCAATTCAGTAAAAAATGGAATGTTTTCATTTTTATCACAATAATGTAAACAGATGATGTTTAATCTTTTCTCATAGTAATGATTTGCTGCAATACGTCTACTAACAATCAATAATCAACACTGCGTCTTGGTGGTGTTGTTTGTTCATTTATTTGATAGTCAGAGTGGTAGTAGAGAGCGCACCTCACATGGGAAATGTAGCAGTTCGATCCTTTCAACAATTCCCGGAGGATCCAAAGGTTATATTGCAAGGAAAAATATTCTTCTTTCCAACATACCCTAATATTTGTTTTTAAAACTAAGTCAAATGTCTCGTCCTTCACCAATCCCTGTCGATCGACTAATGCAAAACCAATAATGTTAGATCTATTGTTGATATGTTCTCGGTCTGAATACACATCAAATATCTCTCACTGAGCATTAAGCAAACAACAACCAATCGATCAAATTGTGTTGAGTAGTTTTAGTAAAATATTTTTCTCTCTTTTTGAACCACATTAGGATAATGTCTTCCGGAATCGCATGATAAATGATTCCGTTGTCAATGATGTATTAAAAATGTGAATTCTGATTAAAGTTATAACTGCTCATAAACCTTAAAAAGAAAGAGGAATAATGGTCGTCTTCGAGTATTTTACTCATTTAAGCGACGATCATTTTATTTTCTGGGGAAGAGAGCTTGGAATATTTTCGTTTTCGCTTGGTTAGTTTATGTCCATTTTATAAATAACCATTTCCTGCAATTTGGAGGGAAGAATATACATTTAATCCTGTCATAGGCAAGATTATTTTGTTAATTCTCTCTAGGCTTAGCCTAGCAGATTATTTCTCAAAATCTTCAGGACGACCCTCCCCCTCCTCCGAAAATTAAATTGAATTATCCTAACTGGTTTGAACGAGTTTCTGTTTCGCTCATAATTCTGACCTTATGACAAATATCAAAATTCTGAAACCTATGACACAATTTACCTGTATAGCAGGATCAGATTCAGACACTCTTTTGACGGTGAAGGCAGAAGGGAGAACATAAAGGGATTATACGAAGGATGCATTAGGTAGATTTTTAAAGTTGTCCCTCGGGGGTACCCTGGTGTATATAGATAATCAGGGTCTCTGTGTTATGGATATAACAAAAATTGGATATGCCAAGGAGATACTAAAATATTTATAAAATTTGTTCAGAAGAAACCTTCGACTGATATTTTTATTTAGCGAATTATGGTGTAAGAAAACACAGATTTTCCTTATATTATTTTTAGTTGTTGGCAGTCGGGCGTTTCAGCTTTGTCTTTTACCGATAGAACCAAATATTTTGGCAAACTGGATTCCTACCATTTCACAATAAAACTTCTAAGCTTCACGTGAGGTCTTAGAAATCAGAACTTGATGAAAAAACAAAATTGCAGAGCATTTAATTTTGATCTGGATTGTTTAAGATTAAATTTTGATTTTACAAGCAAAGCAAGCCTGTCTTCTCTACCAACAGTTCTTCCAAAAGTCAATACAACTTTGGGTAATAAAGGACT